CCTGGGGACCCCGCTGTCCCGAGCCGAAGGCACCCTCTCTGGGGCGGGGAAGCACGGTCGGCGGGCGCCGGCTCCGCTCGGGTCGTCCCTCTTGCTTTCCCCGCTCGACCCCAGGGCTGCGAGGTCCGGGACCCGCAGGAAAGTGAGCTCCGCAATCCTTCCAAAGTCCTCCTGCCGGAGGGTTGCTCCCGGGTTTGGGCGAGTGCGGGAGGCGACAGGGTCGCCCCACATCTGGACCCGCACCTGCACTTTCTGATCACGTCGCCTTCGGTTCTGTGGGGAAGGTACGAGGGACACGTGGGAGCCCCCTTCACGCCTCAGCCGGCGATGAGGTTAATTCTGCTTACAGCTCGCTCGCCCGCCCGCCCTCCAGACCCTGAGCGTCTCCGTGCAGGGGGAAGGCGGCCGGGGATCTGCTTACTTCGAGAGTGTTTGGCGTAACTAGTATCTAAAGTTCTCCAAACCAGTGGATGCTGGTGGTTTCCCAGCGGTGGTTTGGGGTCGGTTTAACCGCTGAGGAGATTTGGATGTTCCTGAGCCCTTGTGATTGTTTCTTTCCTGACCCTGGCGTCCAGCTCCTCCCCTTTCCACCCCGGCTTTGTGTTTCTGTTTGGTTAATGTTTGCGGACCACTAACTTGATCCTAGCACAGAGAAGCTCTTTTTATGTGCGTGCTCCGTTTACTGTGGGAGGCTTTTGTTTTGGGGAGTCGCTGGTTGAGAAACGTGGGAAAAGAACGGGCGAGAAAATGAGAGTCAAATAAAGCAACGTTTTCATCCATTGAATTGCGCAGCCAATTGTAACCGCACCCGGAAGTTTGTACTGAACACGTGTTGATGAGAGAAGGTTAAAAACTGGGTCCCCTTTGACCTTTGAAAGTTGATTATTAGCAGTTTATGTTTAGTTAAATGTTTCATATTCTCTAGTCAACCGGAATTAGAGACGGAATGAGACTTCTAGAGAGTCGGCCAGGAGAGTCCAGGACGCTGTCAAACCCCGAGTTGTCCTAGCGCAAACAGACTTAACACTTGCAGACATTTAAACCAGCTAACAGTGCGGACGGATTCCATTTTTTCCCAGTTATTTATGGCAGTCAGAACTGATTTTCGTAAGCTGTGGGGGAAAACCATCATCATTGCACGAAAGATAGTTGGTGTAGAATTTCAAGGATAAAAAATGTAGGATTTACTATGGATTCCTTGAGTGGGACATTAATTTTGCAAGCAAGAGAACATTTTATTTTCAAAATTTATTTCCAAAATTTACCTTATCAGAGAAGACATCTTTACTTTTTTCTCTGGCTTCTGCTTTTTATCTCCCAACTTTTTTTCACACAATTCTCTTCAGCATTTTAAGTAAATTTTACTTTAGTTGCTGGGTAAGCGTTAAAAAGGGAGGCTTAGTGGCTTACATTAGAGTTCATTCATTCATCCATTCATTAAATGCCATTATGTGTCAGGCAGTTGTAACATGCTGAAAGGGCTTTGCTGAAATTATTTAAAAACGGGCAGTATGGAGATTTTTTTTCATGCTTTTTAGAATGATTTGCCTCAGAGACGTTAGCTACAGATACGTTTTGGTATTTCTTAGCTTCAAAGTTGAGGTTTGATTTGAGACCTCAAAGTTGAGGTTTGATTTGATTTGAAGGACACGATCACTCAGATATACGGTCTGTTCTTACGCAGTAACCTGACTTTTCACGAGGCCTGCCTAAAGTTTATGTAAAGATACTTTCTGAGAGGAGCTGCTTTCACATTAAATAGCCAGTTAATAACCAAAATGACATAATCCTAAAGTTTTTGCAATATTCTTTATTTTTTAATGCTATGACAGATCCACTTTGACGTGGTTGAATTTACTAAGTATTAAGGACAAACGATAGTACTGAAATTTTCTGTAGTTGGGCAAAATAGGCCCTTTAAGAGGAGAAGCTATTTTATGAATGAGATCTAGTACAAAACCCATCAAATTAACTTGCTTATTTATTTTTTTTAGAGGCAGTATGTTATGTATCACAGCATTGATTTTTAAATCCTTTTACTGCTTCCTCCGGTAAGAAATAGGTTTTAATGTCGACTTAGTATATATATATGCATAGAACTGAAAAGCTCATTTTGTGATAATATTTACCCCCCACATACTGTGCACTAGTTTTCTGTTCTGTACTGAAATATTTAAAAATACTGGTTGTGATGCACTAAAGTGATTTGACAATCCAGTATTTTCTGACCAGCAGTTTGAAAAATACTGGTATAGGGTTGAGTACAGAATCTTGAAGGGATGTGGTATAGACTTCCTGGGCTTGTAATTGCACTCCATGCTGGCTTTGTTGTTACCTTGTTACACTTCCTCTCTAAGCCTCAGTTTCTCATCTGTGACAAGGGGATAATTAACCTATGGGCTATCTTCCGGATTAAAAGAAAAAAATCCGACCATATACTGAATCTCAAGACTAGCCACATGAATTTGATGTGGTGATCAAGAAAGTTGTTTCATTTCTTCCCTTGATTTTTTTCCTGTTTCTTTTGTAAAGCATTTTCGAAACTTTGTTTATAATCTGCACATTCCTTTGTGAATCCATTCTTCCTATAGATTTTGCAATGAGTGGGGGGAGGGGCATTTTTCTGAGCAGCTGCTCCCTTGAGAATTAGGTGTTTAAAAAATACAGATTATCACTTCACAAGTTATATAAATGTCTAATAACTGTGTTGTACACCTGAAACTGATACTGTCTGTCGACCATAATTGAAAAATAAAAAATACTTAAAAGTACAGTTTATGTCATTTTAGGTAAAGAAAACTCTCTTTAACAAACTTTATACCAATCTCTCTTATTCTTAAGGAATCAGCAATCGGTAGACACTTAATAAATCCTTGTTGATGGACTGTATCAGCTGAATTCTAAGTGGATCATTATCCTTCAGATTATTAAACTGTCAGTCATCACATCTGGGCTGCATAAAAGCAAGTTGAAGCTGAGTCAAAAATCAGACTTATTCAGCACTATTAAAGTAACTATTAAAAAAAACCTTTTATTAGTTCTGGAAAAGATACTTGCTTAGTGATATTTTCTGTACACATTTAAAAATGTCTACCAGTTTCCTGGAGACACACTGACCAATTAACTGGACAGACTGGATGTGTGACACTTTTAGGTAGAAAGGGAACTAGTGTTTTGTAGCACTAATCTGGAAGTTAATTATTGAATAGATTGCCAACAAATAGTTTGTATTGTGGGAAATAAAGTGTTTCATTGGCAACATGGAAGAAAACATTTTTTGGACATACTAAAGTTCATCAAAATGATAGCAGCCTAACATTTATTTCAAGTAGCGCAGCAATCCTATGAGGTAAGTGTTATTTTCCCATTTGAAGATAAGGAAACCGAGTCATGAAAGTTATTATTTGACCATATTCTACTCCTGGGTGGATGATGTAGCCAGTATTTGAACCCAGGTGTTCTGGTCTACGCCTCATCTTCTCGGCCGCTGTGGTGGGCTGCCGCCACTGCAGGTACATCCCTGGTATCTGTTCTGCACAGAGCAGTAAAGATCTGTTCAGATCTCAACAAGAGGAACCTTGTCCTCGTGGATAGGTTTCAGTGTTGGTAATCTCGATGGGAAGTGTATCCTTTCATTCTTCTGCTTGGCTATTGTTTCCCAGGATTCTCTTCCTGCCAAGGATGCCTCTTAGTTTCTCCCAACTACTGTGTCCTTGTTTTTTATTTATCATTGTTGCTTTCACAGTGTATTATTTTGAAATAGGCGATATTTTCAAATGTATTTATGACAAAAATGGAATCATTTTGTTGTCCATTGTTGGAGATAGACTCACTCTGTTGTTAGTAACTTAGTTTGGTTAGATTGAATGAATTTTGAGTAGGTCACTGATAGTGTCATCTGAGGTCTATGAAATCCTTTGTAGACACATTGTAACAGTTCTCTTCCACACAACAGTATTTACATTTATATTGTACTTAGTGGATTCAAAATGAAAATGTTGTTTTCCCTCTCAGGAATAAATCCTACTTATTTGTAAAGTAACGAAGAGAAGATTGGATAATATAAACGTTTAAGGGCTCTCTTAGCCTGAGCACTGAAATTCCTTGAGTCTGTAATAGTTTTAGAATAGGAATATAGTTAAATGTTAAGGGTTTTGTCTAATGGATTAGAGAATGGCACAGATGTTCCCTTTCTGTCCCTCTTCCCCTTCTCACTGCAGAAAAAGTGCAAGTAGTGAATTTGGGCCCAATCACCTAAGAGAAAAATATCTCTAGATTTTGTGTGTAAAATGTATGTAAAATTAAAATTTTTCATTAATAGATTGTAAAAGACAATGTCTTTTGCAGACATTGTAACTACTCATACCAGAGGTCTCAAATTCAGATTCCTACGAATGAATTTTGAGGTCACTGATAGTGTTATTTGTAACTGTTGCAATCATTTCTTGTATGAACACCAAGTTTCTCCCCTAAATTCCTTTCTTCCTTGATATTTTTGTGCTTTTAATGCTTATTGTTCAGAAAATATATTTCATAAAGTTCTCATGAATTCAGTAACACTTTTCAGTGGTGTTTGTTTATTTCATGAGTTAACGACATTGTTTTTTGAGTACGATTACACAAGCCTTGGTGCGCATCTGATGGATTAATGGGGCCCTGGGCCTCCAAGGGTTCTGCAGTCTGTAGTTGAGGAGTCGCTGGTTTAAAACACTGCACTTTTGTTTCAATGTAAAGAAATCATTATTTCTAATATTACTTTTAAAAGACATTTTGATAATCTCAGTTTCTATTTTAGGTCAAGGTTAGCCACAGTATGTAGGTCAAGACCCCCAATACCCACAGGTCGTTGGTCCTAAGGAAGTATTTTATGGATTGAAAACGTTTTTAAAACATTTTGTTACATAGCTCTTGTTACGTACTTGTATTAGGATGATTTGTAAAGTATGGGCAACTGTGTCTATATTGGAAAAATGGATCAAATCAACTTTATTTTAAATCCATGTTGGGATATTTCTACTCTTTGTCTCAGACATTCATTTCTTTTTTTTTTAATACATTTATTTAAATTAGTTTCACATATACAGTACATTAGTCAGACATTCATTTCTTTTATACTATTTTCATCTTGCTAATACTCCACCTCTCTTCCAATTTTTTAAATTAAGTATTGAAACTTAAAGATTACCAACATTGACTTCTTGATCTACTTGTTGGAAAGAGAATGCATGGGCTCTGAAGTTTGAATAATCTAGATCTGAATGGTTGAGCTTGGGCAGGTAACTTAAGCTTTCTGAGCCTCCGTTTCATCTCTAAAATTATACCTATCTGGTTTAGGGTCATTGCAGTCTCCAGCAGTAAATGAAGAGCCTAACACTGTGTCAGGCTTGTAAAAGATACTTAGTCTCTGGCAATTCCCTTCCTCCTTTCTGCTCAAAATGTTTTCTTTCTTAGACTGCTTTTCCTTTTTCAGAAAAATTTTGGGGAAATCTCCTTTGGGCTCTGTCCTTCCGCCCATCCTTTGAACGGCCAGTCTGCCCTTAGTTTCATTTCTGGATGTCTTTGGTTTTCTACCTTAAACTCATTCATGTTTCCATTAGAACCTCTTTCTAAATGATACATAAGCTTGTGTGATGTAGACCTACCTAGTGCAATTTCTCTGTTAAATATCTTGGCTTTCATCTAAAACAGTAGTTTTTATGTTTTGGAAGTCATGGTCATGGCATTCTTGGCCAACATCTTTCTTTTTGTAGGATTAATGAAACACTGACATTTAATTTTATTGCATAGTCTGAGAACAAATAGACTAGCTGAAAATATGTTATTTATATAACAGGAAATTAGTTTTCTGAGAAAAACAAGTTACATATTTCTCAGATGTTTGTATATGTAAATGGGTTATGTCAGATAAATTAATGAGAAAAGTTAAAATTGAGAAAGCTCTGTTAAGCTTTTGTTCCATTTTGGTGGTAGAATACTTTGATCTGGCTCCTGAGAGTACAGTTGGGAAACGCCAACCTAAAATGTATTTGCTTGCTCTTAAATAGGCATTTCCGCCCCTAAATTCCATGTAACTCATCTTTCAGATCTCCTGGGCTCAACTTTTATTTGTTTACTTTCTCTTGGCTTAACTCTTAATTATCTGTCAGCTCCTGCTTTTTTGTGTGTTTCATCTTCTCCCTTCATTTTGAGCTTTTATTTAAGCCCTGTCTATGGATTCTCCTTCCTAAATAGCTTGGAACCCGTCCCCTTCTCTCTCTTTCCACCCTGCTGGCTGGCGTGGCACAGCATCTCCCTCCTGGTCTGCCGCAGCAGCAGGGTGGGAAGAGAGAGAAGAGTCTGCTGTAGCCGCTTCCTAAGATGCCTCCTGCTTCTGGCCTAGAGGGTGCCAGCGTCTTTCACGCCTCCATGAGTTTGAATACACTGTCCAGAAGGTCCTCGTCCACCTGGCGATTTCTTTCTTGAGACTGAGCTTCACTGTCGTCTTTGTTACCTTCCTGCCTACGAAGTTCAGCATTTCCTTCTGTTCCCACAGCATGTTGTAGACATAGACTCTTGCTGTGATTTATATACTTCATTGTCATTTCTATCTTAATGTGAATTTTTGGGGACCTGCCTGTCATCTAGCAGCTTCTCCATAAATATTGAATGAATGGGTCTCGTAGACAATGTTGGTTTATATTTAGAAGAGAGTTGTCATTTTAAGTTTTTTATGTTAATATTTAATATTTCGTTCTAAAGATGGTGGAGCCAGGGCAAGATTTACTGCTTGCTGCTTTGAGCGAGAGTGGAATTAGTCCGAATGACCTCTTTGATATTGACGGTGGAGATGCGGGGCTTGCAACTCCAACACCTACCCCTTCAGTTCACCAGGTAAGAGTTTTCCAAAGCCTCTGTAGAAAGTACGTTTTTTCTTAACTTTAATTTTTATTTATAAAAGTAGGTGTTAATTAAGCCTTAACTTTAAATATGCATGTGGACATTATTATGTTGCGTGTTAGTCTTCATTCATGAGGCAGAAAACATTTGCAATGAAAATCAAGACATTTATTGTTTTGATATATATGTAAAAAACATAAGAGGTGATTGTTCAGGGTTTCGTGGGAGATGGTTGATGTCCTTAATAGTTGTCTTTGTAGTTTATAGGAACATTTTTGTGAGGTTTCACTAGACACATTCTCTGAGAGCAAAAATAAGATTCTGGTGTTAGTGTAGTTTTGCAAAGATGTTATGCTTGCAAAGATCGTTGTTACTTTATACCTGGTATCAGTGATTTTACATTCCGTTTGAATGTAAAGCTTGACTTTTTTTTATTATAATGAAATAAATACCTCTCTTGTTCTTGAAGCGGAATTCACTGCCGTCATGCTTTCTTTCTTTCTTGGTGTTGTTTTCTCTCCAGTCAGTGCCACTTAGTACACTAGAACTAGGTTTGGAGACTGAAGCAGCAGTTCCTGTAAAACAAGAGCCAGAGACGGTGCCCACTCCAGCACTATTAAATGTTAGGGTAAGAATTATTTAGATTCAACATTACTGCTAAAGTAGTTTAGGATTGTAGTAAGAAAATAACCTTTAATATGAAACAGTTTTATCTCACTAGTTCTGCTTTTCACTACTCACTTCCCAATATTCTACTCATCTCCTACTTTGTAAAACATTTGTTTCATTCTTATGGTAGTTATATTGGTCAAAAGAAAATTTGGATGAAACAATTTATTGCAGATGATAAAAAAAAAATTCATGAAGTGAAGATAAACTATACATTATCCTCCTACCCTTTTCATTTTTACTTATTTCAGCTTTCATCCATTGGTGTATATAATTTTTGTGTGATTATAATTGTACTTTAACTATGGAGTTCCTCTGACCTTACCTTAGACACAAAAGCGAGTATGAACTTAAGCCTAGTGGTATATAATTATTGGACACACTGGTTAAAATTTTAACTTGTCATAAATTATTATTTTTTAAAGTGATAAATAGTACCTAGAAGATTGCTGTTGTTGGGAGTTTTGGAGAAATAACAGCCTAAGGAGGAAAGGAAATAAAAATATATTTAAATTTCTAAAAGTATCTCGGTTACACTTTAGTCACTTGTAGACGTGGACATACTATCTTCAAATCTTGTTTTGCTTTTTGTCCGGCTCCTACCCTCTCCCGTGTAAAAAAATGCTATGTAGCTTTGTTTTAGGCTCAAAGGTAGCACCTGCATTATCACCAGTATTTGTAATTTACTTGGCTGGATCATTTGTGTGACATAGGAATTTGAAACTGTGCTTAGTGGTTTTATCTTGTCCTGAACGTTAGTATAGACTATATGATAGCAAACAAAGCACTGAGCAGGAGTCATAGAATGTTAGAACCAGCAAGTGGTCCCCTGAGAGCCTGGGCCTCCAGAGGTGGGGTGATCGCCCTGAGGTTCTCCACCTAGTTGGGGCAGTGCTGGGATTAGCAATTCTTCCTGTTCCTTGTACTATATGGGGTTACCGTGCACCACAGCTTGCTTAGGATAGGCCCGTTTTATGTTTGCTGTCCCTGACAGTTACATAAAATATCACACTACTATACCTTCTTTTCCTCAAAGTGGTGTGTTTGAACATGGTTGTTTATAGCTGATCATATTGAATTAAAAGTGAAGCGTCGATTGTTAGGTAAGAATAAAAGTCAGTTTTGGATTTTTAAGTGGCCTACCGTGTTTATGGACATGGGCCACATCGGAGAATAAAGCATTTTTCAGTGGTGTGATACGTATGGTTTTCTTTTCTAGCAGCAGCCTCCGTCTACTACAACATTTGTGCTGAATCAAATAAATCAGCTTCCACCCTTGGGATCTACAATAGTAATGACTAAAACACCACCGGTAACAACGAATAGGCAGACCATCACTTTAACAAAATTTATCCAGACGACTGCGAACACACGCCCTTCAGTCTCAGCACCAGCAGTACGAAATGCCATGACTTCTGCACCTTCAAAAGACCAGGTTCAGCTGAAGGACCTACTAAAAAATAATAGTCTGAACGAACTCATGAAACTGAAGCCACCTGCTAATATTGCTCAGCCAGTTGCAACAGCAGCTAGTAAGTCTTTCTGTTTTCAGTGGTGTCAACTGTCTGCTTTTGGTAAGATATATCAGTGTGTTTTTAAGGGTTTGCTTCGGTCTTAAAAGAATCGACCACGAAAGAGGTAGTAACTCCGTGATTCTACACTTACAGTGTGTACACAATTCAAGAGAAGCAAAAATTTAGCAGCTTTAGCTTTGAAACCATGTGTGAAATTAACCAAGTGGCCTCATTGACAACATGAGATCGCAGTTTTATATATTGTGAACATTTTTCTCAGTCCTTTAAATCAGCGCTTCTCAAACTTGATGTGTTTATGAATCACTTGGGAATCTTGTTTAGAAATAATCGGATTCGGTAGCTCGGAGGTAGGGTCCAGATTCTGCAGTTCTGGTAAGCTTTCTGGAGGCACCGTTGCTGGTGGTCTTTGGGGCCATGCTCCTGGTAACAGGATTTAAACTGATACTTTGATACTTTGACTTCTACAGCCTTGTGATTTTGCCTGTCATTGGCCTCATTCCTTGCTGGGTAGTCGTGTTTTTAGTATATTCTCGTTTAAAATAAATGTAGTCTCGTCATAAAATATTTCATTAGATTTGTTTTGAAGAATGAACACCCATAATGCTTTTATTATAACAACTTTATTGAGATAAAATTTACATACCATAAAATTTACCCTCTTAAAATGTACGATTCAGTGGATTTTCATATGTTCCCAGTGTTGTGCAACTGTCACCACTAGCTAATCCGTAATACCTAAGGATAGGTTTCAATTTAAAGTGAAAAAGGTCAACAATGGTTTGATTACACTTTTTTAAAGAATTCATTAATGCATAAAGAATGTAGATTTTATAGTTAGTTTTTCTTTCCTGGAGTGGCTTTTTTGTTCCTTATTTATTCAAGACATACTGAGCGCCTGCTGTGTGTCAAGTGCTGCTCCGGGATTTTGAGGCTGTGGTTGGGAAGAAAACTGTTGAAATCTCTCCCTTCATGGAGCTTTCACTCTAGTGGAGAGAAACAGTAAGTTATATAGTATGTCAGAGGGATAAGTGCTCCAGAGAGAAATGAAAAATGGGAGATGGGGTAGGAAGAGGTTATAATTTTAAGTGGTGTTCAGAGGAAGCTTTGTATTTAAGGTAATTTTTAAGGGTAAAATAGAATTCATTTGTCCTTTTTTCAAACTTTGGCTATGGCAAATTTTAGTAATATAGTTTAAGAAACTGGTCTATGGCCATGCCACCCTGAACAAGCCCGATCCTGTCTGATCTCGGAAGCTAAGCAGGGTCGGGCCTGGTTAGTACTTGGATGGGAGACCACCTAGGAAGACCAGGTGCTGTAGGCGTAAAAAAGAAGTGGGGGAGATTGTAAGCTGGCAAGGTCCTTGCAGTCTGTGAGGTCAACCAAGAGTTTCTTCGCCTAAAAAAAAAAAAAAAAGAACTGAAAAATGTAAACTCGAGGGATATTCTTTCCTTCTCTTCTCCATTGAACTTGGTAGTGTTTGAGTCCCTGTCGTGTCGTAATACCATGATGGGCACTGTGGAAGGTGCTGGCTCTGACTTCAGTTACATCCTCATCTGACCACTAGTTCATAGTTTTAGCATAGGAATTGGGTATCTTTTTTTTTTTTTTTAAGTTTCTTTGAGATTGTTGTGTTTTTGGATTAAGGGAATAGAATGGAGCTTCCTAGTGATTTATACTAGTACATAGCATCCCATCAGGGTCTTGGAATGAGGCATTGAGTATTGAATAGTTAATTCCCCCTTCCAAACAGCTGCTTTACGTTTCTGATTGTGGGAGATATATTTTAATATCCGATAGAGACCAATATATAATTTTGTAGCAGAATTGTCTGTTTAGAAGTTATAATGTGCTCACGTTTTAAAGTAGAGGGCCCGAGATATTCCAAAGGAGAGGGCAGGAAGTATTTTGTACAATGATGTGGAGCTAACTTTATCTTTAGTGACACATGAAATTAAAAATACCGGATAATCTAATCTTTATGTTTGGGTTTATTCTTGTGCCTTTAAGGCTATAGTTTTACTCTCACCATCATTGTCCAGGACTAACTCATCCTGGCAGCTAGGTGCCACTTGTAAAATCTTTTATTTTTTTAAATAACAAAACTTTATTATCTTACAGTTTTGTGAGTCAAAAGTCTAACACTGTTCTAATAGGCTAAAGTAAAGATTTTAAAGCAGGACAGGTCTAAGTCATCTTAACTGACTTGGGACTGATTTCCATTTTCTGCCATGCAGAGCAGAACTGTGGCCCAGACCTAGCTGGGGTGCAGGGCGGCATCTAGAATGGCCCCCGGGAGGCTTGGGAGTGATCAGCAGTTAGTAGAAGCTGCTTTTTGTTAAAATCTTTGGATTTGATGAGTAGAAAGACTGCTACTTTTATGTGAGTGGCTTTCTGAGTATTCCACTTCTCGAATCAGCATCCACTTTCATCACTTAAAGGAGCGGGCATGTGCCATTGCGAGGAAAGAGTTTAGAGAGCACGGCAGAAAACAGGAGGAACGTGGAGCTGACCGAGTAATATCTGGTCCAGTAACATCTCCCACGTCCAGTGTAGTAATTTTTAAAAGATAAAAGACTGCAAATCGAGGCCGTCCTTGTTTGGAACCCTGAGAAACTGTCATACTAGGCCAGGGCTGAAGAAGAAACAGAGTAAGTGAATGTTGGAGATAAGCAAACGTTTGTGTTGTAGGGCAAGGTTATCTTTTTACTGAGAGAGAAGAACATTAAAAGCGTGAAACTGCACGGAGCAGGCCATTGTGTGCCTGGTTTCCTACCTGTGTGGGTGGTGCCCCTCGGGAGCCCCCAGCCCTTTGGCTTCCTCTTTGGGTCCTTTCTGTTCTCTCACTCGAGCCCCAGTCCTGTTACTCGCTCTGTGACTTCTCCCCTGGCTCTCTTCTCTTTCTGTACTTCAATCCTAGTCATTTTGGAGTCCCAAGAGACAGGCCTGCCACATACTGCCCGTCTCGGTAGACTAGACAAGCTGTTATCAGTCCCCCCATGTGGTTTAGAACCACAGCGATCTCAAGAAGCCCAGGTACCAGGAGGCTCCGGGGTCCTTGAGGGTGGGGCTGGCCACAGCGCTCTGCACTGCCTGGCCAAGCAGTTCCACTTCGGTTCCTGTTTGGAGTGAGGGCTTCTCATGCTGTTTCTGAAGAGTGTGCAAGCCGCTGGTATAGGAGAGGAAAGGTTCACTGTTTGGGTCTTTATTCTGAGGGAGGGAGGAAAACAAAGTTCTCCGTTTTTTTTCCTTCCAGAAATAATTATGTTGCCTTGAAAGTTAGTAAGTCCCATCAGCTCAGGTGAGATGGAGTCTGTCTTTGCGAGAGCACCAAGTTTTAATATTTTTCTAATGAACCGAGTAAAGTATCTGAAAGTAAGGCTTGCTCTTGGGATTTGTATTGAACTATCGAATAGTTCTGGTTATGGTGTCTTTTTGACGAATTGTTTCAAATCTTCTGTGCACACGTTTCCTTTAAGGTTACTTGTTTTCTAAGGTTAATAATTTCTTCCATAATGGTACATAGCCGCCTTTGACTTTTCATCCTTAGGCTTAATTTAAGTTAATGATAAGCAGATTGGTGTTTTTCAGTTTGTGAAGTGGGTAAACTTTATTGAATTTTTTTAAATTGTAGAAAAAGTAGTAGAGATTTTGTTCTGAAGTGTAAATTGATTCTCCCTTTCAGCTGATGTAAGCAATGGTACAATAAAGAAAGAGTCTTCTAATAAAGAAGTAGCAAGAATATGGATAAACGACATGAAAATGAGGAGTTTTTCCCCCACCATGGTGAGTTTCAAAGTCTCATCTATGCTTTTGTGTAGTATGAAAGTACACTTGGCTAAAAGAGCTCTAATGTTACCCTCAGAAGACTTTGGGTGAAGATGGGCTACTCAGCTACATAAACTAATGAATAAGCATTAAATCTCACTGGAATAAATTAATATACACTAAACGTGATTATAACTTGCGTAGTTGATAGGATGGATGTAGTAATACATGCGGTATTGATATCCTTTTATTGTGACTCTCATCAGGAAAAAAAAAGTGGAGTTAAGTATTTGGTAACTATGTTCATTTTAGGGTTGAACCTAAATAAATAGCTCTTTATGAGCTGTCAGACCATATAACGGTCTAGGTATGAGTAATTGTAACTTTTCCTGCATTCTGGAAATACTGGGCTTTGAGTCGATTGATTCTATGCATTTTTTTAAGAACCACACTGCACGTAATACTGAGTGTGGGGTAGGTTTCTGCAAGTACCCCCGTTGCGTAAGCACACAGTTCGGCAGCCAGGCGTTGTCAGTAGTAAAGTGGGGCAAAAGGTACATTGCGGTGTGCAGAGCAAGGTTACAGGTTCGGAGGGCGCTCTGGCCTGTGAAGAGCGTTCCGTGGCGGAAGTGTGCAGAGCAAGGTTACAGGTTCGGAGGAAAATGGGCGCTCTGGCCTGTGAAGAGCGTTCCGTGGCGGAGGTGTAATGGAGCCTGAGTGTGGACTGTGGGGACACCTTGAGAGGGAGCTTAGAGCAGTAGTAGGCACAGAGGACCTGGTGGTTGTCTGCTTAGGTGACATAAGCCAAGGTACTTGGTTTGTAGGAAGAAATTGGAATGGTCGCTCTGGGCTCTGCGGAGGGTCCCGAGTTGCGTTTGAAGGACTTGGACACTGGGAGTGGAGGGGCCTGTCCGCGATTCAGGATGAGCCGGGGTCGGGAAGAGGGAGATTGGGAGGTGAGTTAAGTGATCCGAAAGGGCGTTAACTAGGGTTCGAACTTGATTGGAAGGGGTGAGGGGAAAGGAAACATAGAAAGTGAGATGACTGCGCGTGACAGGCCTTGGGGCTGGAATCCTTTGAGAGACAGCAGAGCAGCCCGTGTCTGAGGTCTTGGTGAGGACCAGGAGAACAAGTGCTGGCAGCGTCCCGTTGGCTCTGGTGGTGCGCCTGGAAAGTAGGAATATGCTTTTCTTCAAGAAATGTTTTATGCAGTTAGCGCTCAGGTTCATGGTCCGTCCCACGTTTGCCCGTAATGTGCCAGAGGCTCTTTGTCGTGCCAGCAGGCGAGAAACGTCTAAGAGAGTGATAACACATTATTAGCCCCTGCACCAAAACCATTTGATCCGTGTGCTTTGTTTGGTCTGCACAATATTTTGAAAAATTTTGAATCTGGATTTCTAGGTTTTCTTAAAAAATAGGAATACCTGACAACTGTGGGCCCGCATTCTCCATCTAGTAAAATGTGCCTGGAGTTGCGTAGAGACGATCCACTCTGTGTGCTGGCCAGGCCTGCCCCCGGCTCCGGTGTCCCTCTCCCCCATGTATCTCAACCCTACTCTTGGTGGCAGTTGCCATTTTACATCCAGCTGGCTTACAAGTACTACCTGTGTGGTGCCTAGGTTTCGTGAGCCCCTGGCATTACCAATTTACCCTCCAGTTATACCCTTGGTGTGTGCGTGGTTTCGTTTTGGTGGGGGAAGATGAGGAGGAGGCAGGACATTCAGCATGGTGTACATTCCTGTCTACAGGTGAGAGAAAGGTGTGAAGGTGCAGATGGGAGGACTCAGAATTGAAGTAATTTGCCCAAGGCCATACAAATAAACAACAGAATTGGGATTTATGTGTTTCTTTGGCCATTTTGTCTCCAATTTTTGAAATAGGGTTTCACTTTGGCATGCTTTCTGAGGACATTTCGGGGATTTTTCAGATTTTTTTCTGAGGACTCCATGGCTTGGTGTTGATAGGGTGTTTATCTCCCACCTCCCTTTTCCTTCTCACATTTACCGAGCATCTGAGCGCCATCATGGTCCATTCTAGACTGAAAAAAAAAAAACAAAACGAAGGCAAGCCTGCCCTGACCTTTCGGTGCCGTGTCATCCTTGGCTTTACCTGTAGGTTCCGACTGGGTTTTGTTTCTCGTCCTCGCTTCTCAGTGTGCTGGGTTGCACAGCTGCTTCTCACAGTCTTCCTTGAAGAAGCACACGTTAACAGAGCTTTCCAGATGGTTTTACTGGTGTGAGAAGAGGCTCGTTCAGGGTCTTCCTCTTTCTCTCTCCCTCCTTACCTCGCCCCTTTAAGATTCCGTGGAGAAACACAAGGACACATGTGACTGTGGTGACCATTTGCTCAGTTTGCCTGGGACGGTCTGGGTTTATTTGTGTTTTCCTGGCGAAGTTACTAACAGCTCCCCATTGCACTGTCAGATAGATGGACCAAGGTTTGGAGAGTAAATGATATGGCATCCTCTGTATATAGTTGCGAGTGTGGAGACACAGATGTTTGAAGTAAATTCCCTGTTCTTCAGAAGAACCTTTAAACTCCAGAGTTTCTGCCCATGAGGCTGTAGGATGTGCTGCTGGGACTCATCTCTGTTTCTCCCCAAGCCCCTTCCTCTTCTTACTTCTGGAACTAGGACTGAGGTTAGAGAGAGTCTGGGTGTCGGGGTGGGTGGTAGGCAGTACGAAGGAGAGAATAGTTGGAGATGGTGGCTGGAAGGTGGTGGAGCTGTGCGGTGGCCCTTTTGCGTGTGAGGGGTGAGCGTGGGGCATGGCTTGTCTGCGCTCCTCATCGGACAAGCGGGGAAGCTGCGGAGTGTGATTCTGGGGCCGTAGAAGTGGTATGTCGTGTTTCCAAGATCAAAGAGTGTGGGTGTTCCTGCAGAAGAGTCGTGTGTGTTGGGTGGTCCTCCAGTCTCTGGGATTAGAATTGCTAATGTGCTCTCTGTGTTCCAGAAGGTTCCTGTTGTAAAGGAGGAAGATGAACCAGAGGAAGAAGATGAAGAAGAGATGGGCCATGCGGAAACCTATGCAGAGTATATGCCAATAAAATGTATGTCTTTGGGGTTTTTGTCAGAATAATGAAAGACTTGTAGGTTCCTCTTGAATTTAAATAACTTTCTCGTACGCATCATTATCTACTAGGACCTATCAATGTTGGATGCCTCAGGATTCGACAAGTTTGGGCTTCGTAATATTTTAAACTAAAACATGTTTTTAAATACCTACTTGAAAATTTTACTGCGGCTTTTATTTTTTTCCTACACAAATTTAGAACTTTGTTTTAGGTTGAAGTCTTAAAACCAAGAATAAAAGCTTGAGTTTTACTTTGTTTCACGTTACTTTTGCTTATATTAGCAACGATTTTAAAATCATACAGAATTGCAGAGATGTAAATATGTAATCTTAGATTTATATAGTTTATACAGCTTAGCTAAAATCATAAAAATGTGGGAATCTTAAGACATGCTGTTTGAATTCACTGGTTTACATTAACACCATTTCTGCCTTTTTTCCCATAATGACTATGGAAATTAATAATTTGTACCTTTTGTATAAAAATTTTTACTTTTTCATTACATAGGGGTAATGAGATTTAAAAATATATGTGTAGAAATTTTCTTTTATATATTTTAGGTTTTTGTAAAAAGCCACTCATAATACCACTTAATGTAAAAATTTCTGTTTACCAACCATGTATGGACTCTAAGGTCTCATACTTTTCTGGTCACTTAAAATGAACTTTAGATTGCGGTATCTGAAATATTATTATGTCCCTTCCTCCAATAATAGTCTTCACAAAAAAAAAAATTGAAAGCTTACCGATGGCCCTTTAAACCAGAGGTAAGCGGAGTAAATCTGGATCACTGCCTGTCTTTATAAATAAAGTTTTTATTGGAACCCAGCCATGCCATTGTTTTATTGGCTATGGCTGGAATATATTCCTGTCTCGACCCCCCCGACTATAGTCTTCACAAAAAAAAAAATTGAAAGCTTACCGATGGCCCTTTAAACCAGAGGTAAGCGGAGTAAATCTGGATCACTGCCTGTCTTTATAAATAAAGTTTTTATTGGAACCCAGCCATGCCATTGTTTTATTGGCTATGGCTACTTTTTTACCCTGCTACAACAGCAGTGTTCACTAGTTATAAAAGAGACCAGATGCCCCACAAAGCTGATATTTACTGTCAGGCCATTTATAGAAAAAGTTTGCCGACCGCTATTTTAAATTATATTCACATTATACATTTTGGGAAATTGGTTACTGTTTAATTTTATAGCCAAGATTTCTTTTGCAGTATCTTTCAAGATAAAATTATATTGCAAACTTTTTTCACTGAAGTGAATGATTCATTCAGATAAACTGAATCTAGGATTATGTTCAGTTACTACTGGAGAATCTGGTGGTATGCACTAAGTGGGTATTTTTCTGAATCTTTTTATCAGCAAGTCTCTAAAGCATAAGTAGTTGATTAAATAGGTCATTTTAGTCAGATCTAAACAGTACATTACTAGAAAAGTTGATGACCTTTTCTAGAATCCTGGAGTATCTTTTTATATTTTCTCTGTCATGGGAATAATGTTGCAATATAAAAAAACTGGAAGTATTACCTAGAATAATTAAAACGAAATATTTTTAAATTTTCGTTTAGTGAAAATCGGCCTTCGTCACCCAGATGCTGTAGTGGAAACTAGTTCCTTGTCCAGTGTTACTCCTCCTGATGTTTGGTACAAAACGTCCATTTCCGAAGAGACCATCGATAACGGCTGGTTATCAGCGTTACAGCTTGAGGCGATTACGTACGCCGCCCAGGTGAGCAGTGGTATTTTCTAACTGCATACTTTATCTTTCAGTCTTACTCCATATAATTGTTTTAGTCAGTAGGGAAGCTTTCTTGAATGAAAGACTTGCGATTGTGCTTTTTATAGAAGTTTTATGTGTTAGAAAATTCAACAGTGGTAGCACGGATGTGGGGAGTACATTGCTAGTGGAAATGACAAAATGTCATAACCTTTTGGAATCATTGGGAGTATGTATTAAAACTACAAATACATGCATCCTTTGGCCTAAATTTTGTCACTGGGGGTCTGTCCCATAGAACTATTAGGTGAGAACGAACGAACGCACACACACAAAGCTATTTGTTGCAGCTTTTACACCCAGTGGCTGAAAGCTAGAGCAGCTTCGAAAGCCCACACCCTTGGAGTGACCGAATAAACTGTGGCTTTAACTATGCAGGTGCTGTACCCGCTCTCAGAATGTGAGTTAGAGTTAGGCCAGTTGTTTTCAAAGGATTTTTGTCATTCTCTGTCTTTGGAAAATAAGTAATAGCCAAACAGCCGACCATCCCTCATGTTCATGTGTGAGGTGAAAGTTTGTATTCAGTCGTGCCAGTGTCGAAAGGGCTGTGGAAGAATGCTCGTCAGCTTACTAATTTTAGTCACTCGGAACAGATGAGAATGTATGTTAAATACAAAGCAAGTATCCGTACTAAGCCAAATTGAGTAGCACGTGTATAAACATAAGTCATGTTATCACAGACCTGAAACAACAGGAAAGACCGATCACCTAACTAGCGAAAGGAGTAGATTAATTGCCACCTTTTTTCCCCCCAGCAACATGAAACCTTCCTACCCAATGGAGACCGCGCTGGCTTCTTAATAGGCGACGGTGCTGGTGTAGGAAAAGGAAGGACAATAGCAGGAGTCATCTACGAAAATTATTTGCTGAGCAGAAAAAGAGCGCTGTGGTGAGTGTTGGGGACCCGCCGCGGAGGCCTTCGCACCGCAGTCACTCAGCGTGCGGCCTGGGCTTTAGGGAGGGGGCGCTGTGTTTGCGAAGTCTCAAGGCCTAGTTTTATTTATTCTTGAATACTGCCGGAGTGATGGAATTTGCGTTTAACTTGTGTTTTTCCCTTTTCTTCCTTTTGTTGTGTGTGGCAGGTTTAGTGTTTCAAATGATTTAAAATACGATGCTGAAAGAGATTTGAGGGATATTGGAGCAAAAAACATTTTGGTCCATTCATTAAATAAGGTATGAAAGTTTCTTGTTCAGTTGGTTATTCAATAAATATTTACTCATCTGTGAGGTGAGAATAATAAGTTTCTACTTCTTATGACTGTTAAATGAGTTATGTCACAGAAAGTCTGGTGAGTGCTAGCCACTGTTGCTTTGCGGGTTACTGTGTGTCAGATACTGTGACAGGTAGGGTTATGTAGAGACAAACAAAAAATAGGTGTTGTCTCTGTTGTCATGGAGTTTATTCTCAGTCTTCAGTGTTGTTTTTGTCTTTGTTTCTGAGGTAACTTTATATGGGTGAAACTCACAAAACCATAAGGGAGCAGTGTCATAAAGCTGGAGACAGGCGGTGTCCCCATTGTCGCATGTTGAGTTGTGGTTCAGAGACATCCAGTGGACTCGTATACCTGAACTGTGTCTGCGTTAAGACACAGCTGTCAAGTGGAAGAAAATGTGCCTCGGTGTCTAAAGCACAGTTTAATGCGATTAGAATCTTAATGCTCATTTTTAGCAAATCTTGGTTGTCCTCCAACTGTGCACCAGTGGTTGGAGTTACATGGGTGGAATAGACAGGCCTGGTTCCTGCTAAAGCCTCCCTCCCTCTAGCCCTTTGAAACGAAGTAGGTGGCAGTCTTTTCCACGTGACTCCTGAGCTGGGTCAGTGTTGCCTGGCACACCAGGGCCGTTTGGGTGGGCGAGTCAAGTACTATGACTCGAGTGACTACTAACTGTTCAGAAAAACATGTAACTGGCATGGTGAATATTTTTGAATTCCGAATCAATGTAATTGAAGAAGGGCACATAAATTATTCATCGTAATTTTTATATTTCCCTCAAAGCAATTGCAGTGCTTTGCATATAGTAAGCATACAATGAACATTTGTAGAATGGATATTGTGATTTTTGTAGGGGAGTTTGATTTGTAATCTTTTTTTGATGATGGACTTTTTCGAGACTTTGAAAACTGGATCCTTGAACCATAAAGTTGTATGTGTACACGTGCGTGGCTGCGTCACGTGTGTATCTTGTGCACACCTGTACAGGACATTTTGTGTGTGACCTTAGGAGGTCCTTGACTTCCCTAAAGCCCATCAGAGACTACTGGTTTCCTGCTGTAGAAGTCTGGGTGGGATAAGTGTTTCAGACAGAAAAGTACGTTTACTAAATTTTTCTCTTTTCTTTTTTAGTTTAAGTATGGAAAAATTTCTTCCAAACACAATGGGAGCGTGAAAAAGGGTGTTATTTTTGCTACCTATTCTTCCCTCATTGGCGAAAGTCAGTCTGGCGGGAAATACAAAACTAGGTTAAAGCAGCTTCTGCATTGGTGCGGCGATGACTTCGATGGAGTGGTATCCTTTGCAGCAGACATGTTTATATTTTTTATGATGCAGTAGTTAACGTAAAGATAAATATCTGGAAAACAGGCATCTTGAGATTAAATAAATTGCTGGGACGACAGCTCTAACGATTACGTTGAGTCCATGGGGATCAGAAAGTTGATTCCATTTGTTGCTGTCACGTAGGAGGGCGGCGTTTTAAGGTCCTGGTGTAGGAGCATGTTACTCGGTATGGGAAACGCCGAATACTGTGCTTCCCTCCTGGGGCTTCACATTGCACATTTACCTAGTGAAGTGTCTGAGAAGACTGAGGGGGGAAAACTGTCGACCTAGTGATTTCTAGACCTGTTCGCTCGCACATACCTTTACGATCCTGCACGGGGAGCACCAGTATTCGAAATGCTGATCAAGCTGGTTACCAGTCGTGCTGCTGCTAACAAAATTCACCCAAATTATCTGTGTGGTGGACATTTCTTGCCGTGGTGGATCCTTTTCTCCATCGTAATTAAGAATTAAATATCTGGTTAAGATAAGTACCAAATTCAGTGAGTGCCTCTGAGACTTGAGAGTGTGGGGCTGAAATCAAGGAGAGGCACAGGGAGGGCTTCATTTATGTTTGTAATCTTAATGAAAAAGAACATGATCTGAAGCAAAATGGCAAAGTGTTAAGGTTTGACAAAGCAGGATGATAGGTGTGTGGGTGTTAGCAAAAAAAGTTAACGCCTAGGATTTTATTATCAGCAGCGTCTTTTCCCCTAATCTTGAATTTTACCCAAGGGCCACCACCCCAGAAATCTTGGATGTCTGTCACAGCCTCGGAGAAACAAAAGTTTAACTTCATGAAAGATTGGAGACACGTGCTGCCAATGAGATGTGTTCCTTAATTCATTCCTTACAGATAGTGTTTGATGAATGTCATAAAGCAAAAAACTTATGTCCTGTTGGTTCCTCGAAGCCGACCAAGACAGGCTTAGCAGTTTTAGAGCTTCAGAACAAATTGCCAAAAGCCAGAGTTGTCTATGCTAGTGCCACTGGTGAGTAGTTAGTTATTTAGAAACAGATGTGTAGGTTATTTTTTCAGTTATAGCATGACTTATTTTGGGTTTTCCAGGTGCTTCTGAACCACGAAACATGGCCTATATGAACCGTCTTGGAATATGGGGTGAGGGAACACCGTTTCGAGAATTCAGTGATTTTATTCAAGCAGTAGAACGGAGGTAATGCAGCTTACAGTATGCTCTGTTTGTTCTCGGTAGCAATCTAAGAGATGTATTATTGCTAAAACTTCTTTCACGCATGTTAACGCCCTACTATATTTAATGATAGTTACTGTGTGTTTTAATTTTATTCAGAGGTGTTGGTGCCATGGAAATAGTTGCTATGGATATGAAGCTTAGAGGAATGTACATTGCTCGACAGCTGAGCTTTACTGGAGTGACCTTCAAAATTGAGGAAGTTCTTCTTTCTCAGAGCTATGTAAAAATGTATAACAAAGCAGTCAAGCTGGTGAGGATTTTTTTCTTAATTCATAGTATTTTTAAGGCACCTGATAACGTTTGGTAGTCACTTTTGTTCAGTGTGGTGCGGGTCAGCCCACAAGAATATTTTTCAGCTATAAAACAACAGATAAATCATCAGATCCTTATTTTTCTAAAAGTTCAAGCTTTCTCTTTGCTAATTTATAAAAAACAGCTATTTATTTCAGTTGCACGGTTTTAAAAATCACAACGTAACTGTTTCCTAAAATGACCGCATCAGTTAATAAGAATTTTCGGACAACCGTAGGTGAGCGTCCTAAAGAACATGTTTAGAGAGTCCCAAGTTCACTGCATGTGCTTTATTAAGTTAATGTTAAATATTAAGTCTTGAGCTTAACATTATTTTGATTAAATTAGTCATTTAAAAATAGTTTACACTCAAAGATGAAATACCTAAACTGTCGATCGTGCATCTTCAGTGGGTCATTGCCAGAGAGCGATTTCAGCAAGCCGCGGATCTGATCGACGCCGAGCAAAGAATGAAGAAGTCCATGTGGGGTCAGTTCTGGTCTGCTCACCAGAGATTTTTCAAGTACTTGTGCATAGCATCCAAAGTTAAAAGGGTCGTGCAGCTGGCTCGAGAAGAAATCAAGAATGGAAAGGTAAGTTGGACAGCACATTAAATGACTGATCCTTTGGTTATATTTTTTTTTAAGTCTTTTGGGTGTTGAGGTTTTCTACTTGTAAAGTCTGCTCTTTCTAAATGATAGTCGTAAAAGAATGAATGTAGTTAAGACTTTAAAAAAATATATTTTTTAAAGTAATATAAGTAATGCATGGTTATAAAGAATTTAGATAGCTCAAAAATGTATTAAAAATAATAAACACGACTGTGATTTGGCCATCCGTAGGTATAACGACTGATAACGTGGATGTGTATTGCCTTAAGGTTTTTTTCTTTTTGCTGTTACGTATCTACTTAAAGCGCAAAGAACTCGAGCAGGGGCTTCAGTTGTGTCCACTGCTATAATCCTGTTTCCTAGCTAAGTTTTTTGTACATAGCGTGTCTCAAATGTATGTAGGATTAAAAAATGAGCACACATGTACAGTAAAGGGTCATTCTTTTTTGAAAATTTTTTTTATTAAATATTTAAAATATGTCTTAAATCACATGTGTAGTTCCGTTTATAATTAATATGTTTTCTTTTTTCTTCAGTGTGTGGTAATTGGTCTGCAGTCTACAGGAGAAGCTAGAACATTAGAAGCCTTGGAAGAGGGCGGGGGAGAATTGAATGATTTTGTCTCAACTGCCAAGTAATGTTTTTGGTTTTGTGTTTTTAATTGGATTAATTTAAATGTTAGAACTCCATAGAGGCAAAATTTTTGATTGATCTGTGTCATCTTTTAAAGTTTTTCTGATCTTAGCTTTTGCCATTCTGTGTGTGTCTGTGGGAAACAATAACCGAAATGCTGAAATGTTAAGCATTTTGACAATATTATGCCCACTATTTGGACTACAGAAGGAGCTTGATTTTTGTTTGTCTTGTACATCTTAGAAATCTGTGACAGCTGGGTTTAGTTTCAGTTTTCGTTTCGCCTTTGTGTATTTTGAAATTACAATTTCAGTAAGTATATAAGCAGTAAGTATAGTTTGCCCCAGTTTTGTAAGCTCTAATGCAAGTAGTCATGAAATATTTTTTAAAAGTTTTAAAAAATATTTTAGGCATTGTTTTTTATTTTTATTTTTTGCTTAACCTGCCAATTCTAACTGGTAGTATAATTAACAAAATAACCTTTGCCACCATCCTGTCTCTTGGGCATAGAGACAGGATGGTGGCAAAGGTTATTTTGCTCCTTTTAAGATGGATATAAATAAAAAGCAAAACATGCTCCTGCTAATCTGTACTCTTCTGTACTTGTGTATATGGTACTGCCCTGTCTGAAATGGTACCACTAGTCACATGTGGCTACTGATCAGGTGAAAGGGCCAGTCCAAATTAAGATGGGCTGTAAGTATAAAATACACACCAGGTTTCAAAGACTTAGGAAAAATAACATAAAACAGCTCATCGATTGATTACATGTTGAAGTGATATAGTGAGTTAAATAAAATATTAAAATTAGAAAGTATAAAAACTGCATTTTTTTGTGGAGGGGGAGTTTAGCTTGCATTATATTGCACTTAGGTAGCCTTGGCCTAGAATATTAAAACTCATTTGAGCTTGATTATAAATGTTTCATAAGATTAAACAAAGTATATTCATTTTTAAGAAGTATCTTCAGTAAGACTATATGTAATATTTTATAAATTGAACCACTCATTGTCACTCTCTTTCTCTTGCAGAGGGGTGTTGCAGTCACTTATTGAAAAACACTTCCCTGCTCCAGACAGGAAAAAACTCTATAGTTTGCTGGGAATCGATTTGACAGCTCCAAGTAACAACAGTTCACCAAGAGATAGTCCTTGTAAAGAAAATAAAATAAAGAAGCGGAAAGGTGGGTATTTTTTTTTTAATGATATTCAAACAAGTATAAATTTGAGCATGTGGAAGCAGATATATTTTGGGATTTAACTGCGTTCCTCGAATTGGCAAGTGGGAGCATATTTTCACTGTTGCTCATGTAGTTTTGAATGTACAAGAAACCCCTTGTTTTAAATTAGAGCTTGAACAGTTTGGCTGGTGCTGGGCACTGGTACGCACTGGCCATACGAGGAACCCATGCGAAAGCAGGTCTTACTTAGTGTTTTAGTTTTATAGACAGAAAACTAAGGCACAGAAAGGTTAAGAGGTTAAGGAATTTTCTCAGATTCACACAGCTAGTGGGTGGGTGTGTTAGCCATTTCATGGTGCTGTGCTTGCTAAGCTGCTAGACTCTCAGAGGTTACCTTCTCAGGCTCTGTCTACACGGTGATGATAACTTCCTATATCGTGAAGACCTGGTGCTGTGTGTTGTAAATGCAGTGCCTGACATTTTAACCCTCTTTCATTTATTCTAAGAAATACATTTTTTTATATTTTTAACGTGCCTGAAAATAGGTTGGTTATTTTAGTGTGTTTGGCAATATTTTTTATTTTAGTGACACATTAGTAATGGTGTGTCTTAGAATCAGTGCCGTCTTAAATATGTGAACTTTTTAATGTTCTTAGTTTTGATTGGTTTGTTCCGGGTATCTTTTTTGAATATATTCACTAAGAATCCAGGTCAGCACCTTGTTTGGCTTTTAAAAATGAAGTATTAGAGATCGTTTATCTTACAGTACAATTGACCTTTGAACAACACGGGGCTTAGGCGTACTGGCCCCTCACACGGTTGAAAATCTGTACAACTTTTGACTCCCCCCAAACTACTGATAGCCTACTCTTGACCTTCCAGAAGCCTTACAGATAGCATAAAGAGTCAGTTAACACAATTTTGTATGTTACACATATTACATACCACGTTCTTACATAAACTAAGGTAGAGAAAGAAAATGTTAAAATCATACAGAAGAGAAAATGTTTTTTGGTGTTTATTGGAGAAAATCTTTGTAAAAGTGGACCCGCACAGTTCACACCTGTGTTGTTCAGGGGTCAGCTGTGTTCTGTATTTTTTAAGTATTTTATTTTTTAAGTATTCTATAGAACTATGATGATGAGGCCTCACCTCAACCTGATACACAACTAAATTATAATAATGCCAGAGGTTCCGTTTTATCTCTGTTGTCCAGAATTTATTTTCAAACTTGAGCACTTGGAGGCATTCTTGAGTTTGTACTTATATATCTAGTTTCTTAAGAATAATTGAACGTAACCTGATTTCTTATGTGAATCCAAAAGGTTAGTGCTTGTTTGTGAATTTTATTGGTTTTTTTTTGTTTGTTTTATATTTATTCAGATTCTTTGCCCATGAATTTTGTTTTTTTATACTTAGTAGATATTTTTCTTGTACAGTTCTCATTTGAATTAACTCGTGAACTAGAGTGTAATTTCCTGGAGTTTTAGAACAGTGTGTTGGGCTCACTCTCTTGTTTGGGTTTGAGGGTAGGTGAAGAAATAACTCGAGAAGCCAAAAAAGCACGAAAAGTAGGTGGCCTTACCGGTAGCAGTTCTGATGACAGTGGAAGCGAGTCTGATGCCTCTGATAACGAAGAAAGTGACTATGAGAGCTCTAAAAACATGAGTTCTGGGGATGATGACGACTTCAACCCATTTAGAGACGAGTCAAGTGAGGATGATGAAGACGGTGAGTTCCTGACTGTGTTCAGCGTCAACAAAAGGGCAGTTACAGCTTTGTATTTTAAATGGGACGTTGTATTAAAACCTTTTTTTCTGTGAAGTACAAATCATCCCCCAGAGTCTTAGATTTTGTTTGGTGGAGGGCTCCAAGCTCATCTGCCTTACGTTAAGCTCATTTATGTGGGATGACCACCTCAATCTTGTGCAGTTATTTTTAACCTCAAACCATGAACTTGTGCCTCATGGTGTATGGATGAACTGGACCACTGTGGTTGGTGATCATTTACAGGTTATCAGTTGACAATACAAAAAAATTCAAGGCTTTCCTTTGAAGGTTCTGCACTTGTTTTAACACAAATGATTTGACTCAGTCTTTCCTTAAATTTTCAGATCCCTGGTTAATCAGAAAAGACCACAAGAAAAACAAAGATAAAAAAAGAAAGAAAAGCATAGATCCAGATTCTATTCAAAGTGCCTTATTAGCATCAGGTCTTGGATCAAAACGACCTAGTTTTTCCTCTACACCAGTTATTTCGCCTGCTCCTAACAGCGCACCAGGTATCCACATGGAAGCTTGCTTTGTCTATGGAATGTGCTTTTAAACAAAACAGGTGTTTAAACTTTGTACTGACTTTTAACAAATGCACTTTATCTAGCTAACAGCAACACCAACAGTAACAGTAGCCTTATAACAAGTCAGGATGCCGTGGAGAGGGCCCAGCAGATGAAGAAAGACCTGCTGGATAAACTAGAAAAATTAGCTGAAGACCTTCCTCCTAATACCCTGGATGAACTTATTGATGAACTTGGTGGCCCTGAGAATGTCGCCGAGGTAAATATGACTTGATCGTGGCTCGCTCGGTAATTTTTTGCCACTTGTTCAACCCTGTAGAATGAGTGATATTTTGGGTATTGTCACATAATCTTATTTGCTCCTGAGGTCTTAGAACCCTGTTCTCTAGCTCTCATCCTAGGGCCAGTATCGAGTGTCCGCCCCAAGACACCGATCTGTCTGTTACTGTACCGTCAAGCAGCAGCCTTTTGTGGTCATCGCCATGCGTCTTTTTCCACTGGAATTTGAACTTTTCAAAATCAAAGACTGTGTCGCAACGTTCTCTTTGCCACAGTGCCCCGTGCCACATAGGCTGCGCAATACAGTTGGCTTCTTCATCCCCTTCCGTCTCACACCGAGACGCTCTAATGGAGTAGTCTTAGTACCCGAGTCAGATGCCTTAATTATAAGCGACACTGTTTGGCTTTGCAGATGACTGGCCGCAAGGGGAGGGTTGTAAGCAATGATGATGGAAGCATATCTTATGAGTCAAGATCTGAACTTGATGTCCCTGTGGAAATACTAAATATCACAGAAAAACAAAGATTTATGGATGGAGATAAGGTACGTTTTTCTGGGATGCTGTTTAATGGTGAGAATACTGCCCTATACATTTAGACATTTAGTTTAATCTTTACATAAGTCATTTTTCTTTTCCTATAAATTATGTTGAATGTTGCTATTCTACATTTTTTTAGCAGTTGCACATAATCACTAAACATTCTGCATGTTTTCTCATGAATTGTAATAAGTATTTTTTATTTTGCGCACAGAATTAGATGTTGGCTCTTGATGGCTTTGGAGGCTTCTGAAATCTTTAATCAGAATACTAAAATACTACGTTCTCTCTGGTCACCTTAGTGGCACTACATCTAATGCTACACGGTAGTGTCAGTCCAGTTTTGAACCTAGAAATACATTAAGTGTGCCCAGATGACTAGTACGTTTTGGTTTTGCTGTTTCTGTTATTGCTATGCCATGTTATATTAGGATGGTTTACTCCAAACGACTGGTGGATTGAACTTGCACCTGACCTCTAGAGAGACCTTGTTTGCCTCCAGAGGCTGTGTCTTTCTATAGGCTCTTATTGTTAAGTAAACTTTATCAGTCAAGATGGTTGGATCCGTTTTTCCTCCGTCAAGGTGGAATTGCGATAAGTATTTGCTGATGAGATTGCTAAAAAGAGATTGCCCCACACGACCTCCTCCCTTGATCTAAAAAAGGAGGACTAAAATCTCATTTCTTTACCCCATTTCGCATTAGATTTCGATGGATTTTTCTGTTTTGCAATTAGAAAATAGGCGTTAGTTACCACCATCAAAATTGTCTTTCAAATGTATTGAAAAGCTCATGTTACACATTTTAAAGATTGTAGGTAGAGATAGTATCAGTTAGTTCATATACTTGGTTCATGAATTTCGGGCCATACGCGTTAGGAGTTGTATTAGTTGGAACCTGTTTTGGCTGAGAGGTGACAGGAGATCCAAAATCATATTGACTTGAGCAAGGTGGGCATTTATTTTCCCGTGTACACTTGTCCCATGTATGGACAGGCCAGGGCTGGCATGGCCCCTTGAAGAGCAGGCCTCTTCGGCTGTGTTCCTTTAATTTGCGAGCCTCCACTCCCAAGTTACTTCCCTGTGAGACGGCCGTTTCACATTCATCCATCACACTTCCACATTCCAGCCAGCAGAGGAGAAAAGAGAAGGACATGGTTTCAACTTTTAAGGACAGTACCTAGACGTTGGTCACATCACCTACAACCTGCAGGCTAGAGTGCTCACGCTTGGCTGCAAGGAGACTGGGAATGCAGCCTTGATTCTGGGCAGCCATGTCGCAGGCTAAAATTGGGGTTTCTGTAACTTAGAAAGAAGGGGAGACTAGGCATCGGTGGACCCCCAGTAGTCTGCCTGAGGACCGTAGATTTCTTCCCTGCTTGGCTTTGTGCGGAGATGATCTTTTCCCCCACTTAACTTTTTGTGCAGAACATCGCTATCATCTCAGAAGCTGCCAGCTCAGGTATTTCGTTACAAGCAGACCGGAGGGCTAAAAATCAAAGGCGAAGAGTTCACATGACTTTGGAATTGCCATGGAGCGCCGATAGAGCGATTCAGCAATTCGGTAAGTTTGTACACTGAATTTCACTGGGGAAATATGTACACTCAAAATCTGTATTTAATGTCAGACATCTTAGAACTCGAGATGTGTAGATTTTGGAGGTGTTTGTGTATTGCATATACCTTAAAATAGCGCGTCATGAATTCGTACCTATTTTAGGAGACGTGAAAGATCTGCAATGGGATTTCCTGGGGTTCGTTGCATTAAATCCAAGGGCAGGGCTCCTCGGAGTGTCTGCATTATGGACCTTTAGGACGTAGACAGTTCATGTTAGAGCACCTGCCACTTCGGGTTCTTTTCAGCCCTCGGCTTAACCGAGGGCACATTATTCCTCCCTTCTCTTCATATTCATGTCCCCGTTATCTGGAGATTTTAAAAAACAACAATTTTGGGTGAATCCAGAGCAGCTGTGTATCAGCAACATTGTCATTAACCAGACTGGAGCAGCGGGAGTCACGTGCTTATCATTTCACAGTTTTGTGGCAGTTTTTGTTCCCTTGTAAGGGGAGACATTGTTCTGAATGTGGCTGTTGTTCAAGTCAGTGTTTTGATTTCCTACTTTTTGGGGAGTTATGGTAATTGTTACATTCTTTAATTTTCTTCTTGTTTCAGGGTTTCTGGATATCAGCTTAGTGTTGAAAGCTAAGAATAGATCTCAGAATACTTTGTATGTAGTGAACACAATCTGATTTGTTTTTGATGTCATTTCAGGACGAACTCATAGATCAAACCAAGTTACTGCTCCCGAATACGTCTTTCTGATTTCTGAATTGGCAGGAGAACAGAGATTTGCATCTATTGTTGCCAAAAGACTTGAGAGTTTGGTAAGTTTTTGAGTTGTATAGATGCATATAAAAGAAGGTGTGTGTTATCTGTCTTCCGTTCCTTGACTGGAAATTGTGCGTTTTGATAGGGGGCACTGACACATGGCGATAGAAGAGCAACAGAATCTAGAGATCTGAGCAGGTTCAACTTTGATAATAAGGTACGTTTCAGCTTCCAGTGGCCCTGCAAACTTGTGTCTGTCACGAACAAAAGTGAAAGTGGTTACAGTTTAAACCTTTAAAACTGCCTCTTATGGTTTTGCTGTAAAACCATGGTTTCCTGTAAGACAGGCTTCCACATATCAGTTCGATCTTTAGAGATCAACTCTGTAATGCAGTCATTTTTTCGTTCCTTTTGGAAAATAGGAATATAATTTATACTTGTGAATGCATCAAGTATGATACCCCAGAAGTAAAGGAAGTTATTTATTAATCGAATGCTCGCTGTGTGTAAGGTATGAACTGGATACTGGGCATTATAAAATACATATAAAGATAATTTAGTCCTGCTGTTTTTGAATCTTTGGTACAGTTAGTGTTTATAGAGCTTAGTGGGTCATGTGATTGAAGAGTATTCAAATACTGAAACTGGATAATTGTTGTTGTTTTTATTACAGTATGGAAGAAATGCTTTAGAAATTGTCATGAAATCTATTGTAAACTTAGATTCTCCTATGGTATCGCCACCTCCAGACTACCCTGGAGAATTCTTTAAAGGTAATTTTTTAAAATAAGCATAACAGAGGGAAGTGAGTACCACCAGCAGGAGGTACTAAAACCTATTGTGACGTGCAACGTTGTTTTTAGACTTCTTTGGACTGTAAATTACTCAAAAGTTAGAAATTGAAGGCACCTAAGTTGACCAATTATAATAAACCATTAGGTTTATTAAATTTCATTCAAATCAAGTGCTTTTGCTCTTGACAGCTTATTACGTGTTATTACTGGATTAATAGAGGAAAATGGTTTTGTTAGATTAAGATCACTATGCCAAATAGCTTTTAAAATTTAATTTTGAAGCTAAAGTACCTAGGTAAAAACCTGTGGAGGTTGGCGGGGGTGTAAGTGCAACGAAATTAGCCGTGTGTTAACACTTGTTAAAATCGGGTTATGAGTACCTGTTTGATTATAGAATACTTTTTACATTTGTATGTGTTTGGAAATTCCCATGTTGAAAAAAGGAAGTTCTAGGTAGTGTTATAGAAATTTTTTGACCTATCCTGTAATCTGTAGAGTATATTTTACCCCATAAATGTAAGAAGTCTAGGTGATTTTAGTAGCTCAGGAAACTATGAAAATATTTTGGAAAATAAATAGATGTCAGATATTTGAAATATTGCTGTTGAGTTAGCATTTCTCACTAGGAAGTCCTTCCCAGTCAAAGCAGCATTTAGTTGGTGGCAGTCCATGTTGACATGCCTGTCAGGGTGCTTAGCATCACGGAGGGCGTTTACCAACAACAGAAACAAAGCCTTGGCCCTGTTCCTCCTTCCCTCCTTTCTCCCTCTCTCTCTCCCTCTCTCCCTCTGTCTCTCTCCCTCTGTCTCTCTCTCTCCCTCTCCCTCTCTCCCTCTGTCTCTCTCTCCCTCTGTCTCTGTCTCTCTCTCTGTCTCTGTCTCTGTCTCTGTCTCTCTCTCTGTCTCCGTCTCTGGTTTTTGCTCTTTTTTTTGGTCATTGGAAGTAGTGGCAAAAATAACTCTCCGCTTTATTCCTAATTTTTTGAAAGTGCATGTCAATCATCTTAAGTAATGGAAGGAATCTAAACGTGTGTAATGAAGAGTCAGTCCCCTCCCCTTAACTTCCGCCCGCCGAGATCACAGATGTTAACAGCCTGAACTGGGGCAGCCTTCTAGCATCTTTTCTCTGTGTTCGTCTAAACGCAGAGCTTTTCTTTTAAATGTTACTCATGTTACTTGCTATGTACTTTGCTCAATACATCACAGACTCCCTTACAAGTCGGCGGCTGTATCACTAACACGTTTTTAATAGTCACATAGCATTCTATAGCTAGCTTACGTAACAGCTGCTTAATCATTCCCTCATAACAAGTAGTGCTGAATTTATACAGCTATCCCTCTATACAGGTAATTCCTCCCACCCCCCACCCATCGGATGGGTCCCCAAAGGAAGAGTTATTGCAGTAGAGATCTTTGGCCACGTAATTGTCACCCACAGAAACAACAATTTTGAGCCTGTAGCAGCGTGTTGGCTGATGAAATGAATGCGTACCTAGGATATCGTCGTGCTTCCTATTGACCCTTTTCTCTCCCTTGTTCTGCAAGGCTGAGTTTGAGCCTGAATCCCAGGACTTTTACAAACTCCGCAAACTGCCCTCCTAGTAACACAATTCAGAATACACTGTCATATTTGCTTCTGTTGTGCATCACCTTGTCGATACTGATAAGTAAGGTTTGGGAAAAAATGTTACATTCTTATTTATACTGTTATTGAAGGTAGTATTATTCTGCTGCATGTTCAAAATTGTTTAGATTTTGTGGGGATAACTGACCTCCACTGCCAGAGATGCTGTTGGAAAGATATTTTCTTGAACTAACAGTATTGAGGCTTGAGTACTGCGGCGTTTCAGAGGGCCTCACGATCTTTGAGGACTGTGGGTTCCGTTTAATTCAGTTAATAGAAAGTGTGGACAATACGCAGTGTCTGAAAGCTAGAACTTGATCTCATCTGTTTAGTCAGGTAACAGCTTATCAACCTCTGAGGTTTTTTTTATAAACTCACTTTCCTGCAGATGTCCGGCAAGGGCTCATAGGAGTTGGCCTGATCAGCGTGGAAGACCGCTCGGGAATCCTTACTCTGGACAAAGGTGATGGTGCTGGTTTGTATGCGCAGAGCCGGTGCTGCGTCGTTAAAGCCCGTTCTGCGGTTTATGCTTGTCTGTGTGAATGGGACGCTTCAAGTCCGGAGGTCTCAGTCTCCTGTTACTGCGTGCTCAAAAAGCACTCTGGGTGGCTTTTCCCTGCTGTGGTTATGCAGAAGAGATCGATCTCAGAGATCAGACAGATCCCCGACCTGTCCATACAGCAGCAGTTCCCACCCCAGATTGCACACGTGATCAGCTGTCACGTTTTCTAAAACGTGCTGATCCGAGGCTGGCGCTCAGACGGGCTGTCTCCCAGAGCTCCCAGGTGTTCAGGTGGCCACAGTGGCACATAACATCACTGACTCGTAGTACTCACAGCTCTGCTAGTTAAGAGTCGGTGTTGGTCAAATACAGGGTGACGAAAGGTTACTTGACTTTGGGTGGTGAACACAACGTGATGTACAGATGACATATTTAGCATTGTACACTTAAATCTATATAATTTCATTATCCAGCGTCACCCAATAAGTTTAATAAGATTAAAAAAAAATAATGTTGGAGAACAAACATTCCTATGTGTTAAATTGTGTTGATACTTTTAGTAAGTGAGGTTGAAGATGCAAAATTCAATTTGGCAAACACGGCCTTTGCGCATGTACTGTGGTCATGGTGATCACTTTAGGTAGAAATGGTGAGATCGTGGCTGCACTGTGAGCAGTGCAGGAGTTGTGACGGAAGGCCAGAGGAGAGAGTGAGACTTGGACTAAGCTTCTTACATGCGTGCATGTTTAATTGCCATTCAAATGCATTAAATCTCTTATATGATCTTGTCATTGCAGATTATAACAACATAGGGAAATTCTTAAATAGAATTTTGGGCATGGAGGTGCATCAGCAGAATGCACTGTTTCAGTATTTTGCAGACACACTTACTGCAGTTGTTCAAAATGCCAAAAAAAATGGAAGATACGATATGGGAATCTTAGGTAAGTGGGGGAATGTTTTAAATGTCATGTGCATTCCTGATAAAATGTTCCTTTTACATTTATATGCTGCTTTTTCTTGTTCAAGATCTTGGTTCTGGAGATGAAAAAGTGAGGAAAAGTGATGTTAAGAAGTTTCTGACTCCGGGATATTCAACCTCTGGGCATGTAGAGCTATACACGGTAAGTTTGGAAAACGCGTCGATCCAGCGTGATGCCCTTCTGTGGTCGGCACTCACAGAAGGGAGTTTAATTTAAATGTTATTGTTTCTTTTATAGATTAGTGTAGAGAGGGGAATGTCCTGGGAGGAAGCTACCAAGATTTGGGCAGAGCTAACAGGACCAGATGATGGCTTTTACTTGTCACTGCAAGTAAGACTTTTTCCTTTAAATGTGAATTGTTCAGAAGTGTGTTTTCATTGCCAGCATTGAGATTCTCTGCTTTGTGCCTATTTTCCAATTATATTTAGTTTTCTTTGTTTTGGTAATTAATCATTGTAATTGTGAGTTTGTCCATTTATGTACATTTTCACTTAATATATTTGAGGGATGTTAGATGCAGTTTTTTAAATTAATTTTTTTTTTGAGCAAATTGAACTTTTTAAGTAACATCATGCCTTCCTTACTCCTAATAATGCTTTACGTTTAAAAGGTTCATTTTAACTACTTTTATTTAGGGTTTGCCTGTGGACAGAGCTAAGGAGGGAGAAATGTATGTGTGTGTATATACTTGTACATTTACATATAGACATACACGCACACATGCGTACATCCATACAGAGCACAGTATCTTAAATTCATATTTTTAGTTCTTTTCAAAACCATGGAATTTTTATCTCATGTCTTCTCTGATATTTAGTTGTTTTCTTTCTTTTATATTAGTAATTCTTATTCTCCAGGGCACACAGGATGGTAAATATTATCGCTACTACGATTCAGTTTTCCTGAAAATTATTTTTTTAAAAAACTATCTTTTTTGCATATCTTTTTTCCATTCTTCCATCTTAAAATGTAATCGTGCTATTCTGCATTGTCAGCATATGGCAATTACATAGTTCACTCTTCCCTTAAATCCTCATTTAATCTTAGCTCTTCAGGCAATTAATTGACATTTAATGCTCACCACTCACTCGGCCGTCCTCAGGTTAGCATCTCTGTGGTTCCTTATTGCGGAGCCCGTTCTGTAGTGGGTGGGTCTCTCACGAAGGGCTGATGGGAGCCTCACGCCCTGAGGTCTCGCATGCCTCTGGGTTTGTTCTTTTATACTTGAAAGACAGTCTTACTGAACGTGAGACTGAGATCTTCAGTTCACATTTTCTTTTCTTGAATTCTACTTAAATATGCTACAAATTCTTCTGAGAAAAAGTCGCCGTTGGAGTTTGATGAGCGCTGATTTCTTTCTCTTTTTAATTTAATTATTCTGTTTGTCTGCGTGCCGCAGTACTCTCGCTCTCTGAAGGCCGGTAGTTCTCTTAGAACATACGTTGGCATTAGTCGTTCTTGTCAGTATTCTCAGGTACGCGATATGCTCTTTCAGTGTGTAGTTTCACATTTTAGTATTTCAGGAAGTTTTCGGAATCATTTTTATTTGCAAAATGTTTAGTATTCTATTTCCTTGAATTTCTCCTTTATCAGGCAGGACTCCTTTTATCCATTATTGGATTCTTGTCCATCTTTACTTTGTTTTCGCTTGACTCCTTTTTATCTCTTCATTTCTTTTTCATTAACAGCTTTATTGAGATAAAATCCATATACCATCCAATTCACTCACTTAAGTGTATAATTGTGATTTTTGGTATATCGCATTGTTAATTTTTAAAATCGCGGTAAAGTAACAATAGTTGCTATTTTAACCATGTTTAAGTGTATAATTCAGTGGCATTATTTTCACAGCATTGTGCAACCATCGCCACCATCTATAAACTGAGTTTAACAAGGTCTCACCAAGATAGTAATTTCTAAAACTTTTCCATCATCCCAAACAGACTATGACTGTTAAACAGCCACTCTCCTTCCCCCTCCCCCAGCCGCTGGGAGCGTCTGATCTCCTCTCTGTCTCTCTGAGTTTGCTATCTTAGGTACCTCATGTACGTGGAATCAGCCACATTTGTCCTGTGCCCGGCTGCTTTCATTTAGCCCAGAGCTTTCAAGGTTCTCCCATGTCATAGTATGTGTCGGAATGTCATCGCTTTTTGTGAGTGAATGCTATTTCATTGTATGTATGTACACATTTTGCTTTTATTTGCAAATATTTATTGAATGACCAGCTGTACATGAAGACCTGGTTCAAGATGTAACCGCATAAAGTAGAGCATATATGATGATGCCACAGGCAGGTGAGACCATCAATCAGTAAGCCCTCTGGAGCAGGAGTACTAAACGTTTTGATAAAGTCAGATAGTAAATATTTTTAGGTTTTGCAGGCCATACATGGTCTCTGCTTTGTGGTTTTTTCCCCCCCACCCTTCTACCCTCCCATTGTTCGTAAAGCTTTGGAGCCTCAGGCCGGATTTGGTCCACAGGCCTGGTTTACTAGTCACTGATCCGAGAGCAAAGTGCTTGAACTGGATCTGGCTCCTGGTTGGTTGGTTGGTTGTTTTGAAAGTCTTCCTGAGATAATTGTAAATTCAGATGAGATTTTAAGAATTAATACAGAGAAATTACTTGTACACCAATTTTCCCGATGGTAGTATTTTACAAAAACTATAGTACGATGTCACAACCAGGATATTGACATAGTTCACGAGATTTTATTCGGATTTCTCCCTTAAATGGGATCTGGATGGGCCCACATAGGGTATTGGTTACTGTTTTCGTGCAAAGTCATTGCCAGCATCTAAGCATGGCAGGTTTTGGTGAGAGTGCTGGCCCCCGCTCTCGGTACCTGCAGCTGCGGCTGGCCGTGAGGGCTGGTGTCGCTGGTGTCCCGAGAAGGGCATTGTCTAGGGAAGGACCAGCTCTTTGTCTTGGCTCCACAGCAGTGAGCAAACGTGCGTCACAGTGTGTTGCACTTGTGTTGACATTAGGAAAACCATATCAGAATCGCTTTCATTTCCTCTGTAACGTGACGGTTTATTTTATAATTATAATGAGTTAATCTGACACTACCAAGTCAGATTATACCGTTATTTGCTTGAAACCTTGTGTTCTCAGTATAAATTTATTGACTGTGTCACATGAACTGATAAAAAATTTTTAATGTAATTACATAAACAATGTTTCAGATTATTTGAGCAAGTAAAAGACAAAGGCTCTTTAATATCCATGAAGAAAAAAGTGAAATATTAAGTCTTTTTCTTTCATCAGGATAAGAATTATCTTACTATAAAAATTTAGTAGCTCAACAAAGTATTCATTTCATAGAGGAGCTGGGGGAAATGTCTCTACTTTGCAACTTTTCTTTTTCCTTCAATTCCTCCCCAGAGATTTTTGCTGGGAAGCTCACCATTCTTTAAAGGCGGTATCAATTAATGGAAATTAATATAATTTATAAAAGTTTATATAAAATTAATTTTCCATTCTTATTTTTTCCTTTAATTGAGACTTTTTATAACTCCTTCCCCTTAGGATTTCTCTCATGAATCCAACTTTTAAAAACTTTAACAAACATATGTAGGTTCCATCATATCTAGTGCGCATCCTTTTCCCAATTCTGCATGCATAGGTTTCCCCTGTCGTAGCTTTCCTGTTTACCTATCACTTGGTTAGGTGATGCTGTCTCATTTCACCCTTCAGGAAACCATAGGGGTAGGTAGCACAGATGGCTTAGATGAATTCAGAGGACTGCGAGTGATCAAAATCACCTTGGAGGTTGTATTTCATTGTAACTGAAAGGAGAGTAACTTTTTTAACAACCACATTATGAAAAATTTTAAACACGGAGGTAAAAGAATTTTCCCGTGCATGCCGTTCATGCCCACTCCTTTGGGCCGTGAGTCAGGCGCATGGACTGGAACGTGCAGAGTTGTCTCCACTGCACATCTGCTTTAAAGCTTGTTCCAAACAATTTTCTAAAGACTGTCTTGGCCCACGACCTATGCCTTCATCTTGGTGAGACCTTGTTAAACTGTCGTACTTTTGTTTCAAAAGATTCTGTTTGCTGCTGTGATGGTACAAAGAAAAACAAGTGTGTTTTGAGGTGTCTGGTGTCGAATCTTTATATTTTCCCACTTTTTTTTAATAGATAAGGAACAACAAGAAAACTGCCATCTTAGTTAAAGAAGTCAACCCTAAAAAGAAGCTTTTCTTAGTTTATAGACCAAATACTGGGAAACAGCTCAAATTAGAAATTTATGCTGATCTAAAAAAGAAATATAAGAAGGTATTTTTTCTTTTGTATACTATGCTATTTGATATTTATAAATACAGTAACATAGAAGCTATGTTTAGAAGTGTTTTGTGTCTATAAAATTATTTTGTTGATTTTTTTTTCTTTGATTACTGGAAATTTTTCAGAAAATTGTCGTTTTGTTATATTAATATCTTGGTCTTAAGTTTTATCTACCATGAAGAAACTGATAAGATGATTATTTGAAATAGCTTTTGTTGTCAGGACGGGAAGCTTGCATTGCTAACTATGAAAATGAGAATTTTTTAAATAAAGAGAAGATATGCAAGACAAATTTCTTCCAAACAACTCCTGGTTTTATTGTGAACTGCTATGTTTATATTTTGCAATGATTTCTAGAAAAATAGTGAATGACTATTTTTCTTAACAATGGTTATTAGTTATTATGTTTTTATTAGTATTACCTTATACTTCTGTTCTCCTAGCCGTTGTTGCTTGTAAACAATTATAATTAAGCCAGCTATTTGAAAAATTCGTTTCATAGGAGGAACCTCATGGAAGAACTTGTATGTGGTCCTCAAATGCAGCCAGCAGCAAGGGCAAGGTTTTCTGTACAGAGATGATTTTAAGTCGGCTTTAGAGACAAGATGAGGGAGTCAGTTTGTTTAAAACAAACCTGTTTCAGTGGAATCTTTGTCTTATTTCACAGGTGGTCTCAGACGATGCCCTGGTTCACTGGTTAGATCAGTACAGTTCGTCCGCAGACACTTGTACTCATGCTTATTGGTTAGTATTTTCACGTTTCTCACCGTATTTTCCAAAGTGTAATCAAGATTTAATTAAACGTGGCTTCACTCTTTAGCAATCTGCCCCTGTGAGTACATGAACAGCTTCACTGTTGTGAGGCGTGCCTCTTTCCATCACGGGCACTCAGAGTGTGTGGACCACACGCCGTTGAGGTGGCCCCTCGCTCTTCACTGAGGCTCTGTAACCACCAAGCAGCCATTGTCTGGGAGCCTGGACGTCTGTTCTCGGTGTTAACTTTTATGTCCCTCCTTCTCTCCTTCTCTTTCTTTATTTTTTTCTTCCTCTCTTTCTTTCCATTTTCTTTAAAGCTTTCCTGGTGTCTGAAATAGTTTTGTTTTTAAGGCTAGGTAGGGAGCTTGTAGGAAGGAGAGCACAGGTGCCTCAAGCGGTGAGCAGTAGCTGCAGGCTGTGCTGCTCGCCAGCTGGAGCTGTGGCCCTCAGGTCGTTGAGTTGTGTGCCACAGTGCTGATATCAGAGCCCGGACTGGCGTGTGTGTACACTCTGCACCCTTTAATTCTCTCAGTGTTCTCTTATCCATTAACTAGGTAATGGGGTATCTGGCCCACTTTATGAACAGGGGTATAAGATATAGATGAATTTTCGCTAGATTTTTTTTTTAGACACTTGTAGGTAGACAAATTTGCTTTGATGTGAGCAGTGTTTTTTGTTCGTTTTCATTTTGAGAGTGAATTAGTGCTTGTTGGAAATTAGGAAAAGTCTTTAAGATTAAATACTTTAGAAGTCAACCTACAGAAGTCCTCTCTAAAACATTTGCTTTGAGTTTTAGCGAGAAAAGTGCCCTAATACTGTGTATTCACCTTGAATTAATACTAGAAAGATAATTATTGATGAATTGTGAAAAGAATTTTAACCGTAAAATTTTGACGTCTTTTTCACAGTTGTTTATAAATTTTCATATTTTTTTTGTGCGGGTGTTTGCTGAGGCCTTTCCCACAATATATTGGTAGTTTACTATAGTAGAAATAATATGCAGCATTATTTTATAAGATAGCACTGATACAGTAAACTAAAACTGATACAGATATTAAAATGACAGAGGCTTAAATGGATATCAAAATCAGTAGATCAGACCTTTTATAGGGAGTCAGGCCTCAGAAATAACTAATTTTAAAAATCAGCAGTGATACCTTATATTGGAAAGGATAATTCAGTGTGTCAACGGGATTATAATCGAAGAAGCTATCAGTAAAGGCAAATGATGCTGGGACATTTTCCACTTGAAATTTGGTAGACGTGCGGGCCTTTTCCGTGTGTCTTTGTACATAAGCTTTCCCCCCATCTCTCCTAGGCGCGGCAACTGCAAAAAAGCAAGCTTGGGATTAGTTTGTGAAATAGGCCTTCGTTGCCGCACATATTACGTGTTATGTGGCTCAGTACTGAGTGTCTGGACCAAAGTCGAGGGTGTTCTAGCATCTGTCAGTGGCACAAACGTGAAAATGCAGATAGTTCGGCTAAGAACAGAGGATGGACAGCGGATCGTAGGTGAGTCAATTTTTGTTGTTTTAAGATTAAGCTGAGGAACAAATCATTCTGTTTTTTTCTCATTTTGTTTCTTACATCTTAGACTCTTGACACTTATGTCTAGTAGTAGGGTAGAGCTTGCTTTTATGTTCTTAAAAGGTTGAACAGAAGTTAAGCCTTTGAAAGGACAGTGTTGATTCCGGCCGAAGCCCGGTGTCGTCTTCCGTTTTATGCTGCTCTTGCTGCCCACTCCCCTGCCTCGCCGTCACTGCCTGCACAGGCTCGCAGGCTCCCTGGCGTGGGGACGCAGCTCCGCCTCTTGCCCAGATGCTCTGAAGTCTGCCGTGTGACGTTTATTGAGCCAGATCGAGACTGGAACTCAAAGCCACTGTGCACAGAGGATGGACCGGAGTCCTGCAGGCGGCAGGGGCTGGCTGTGCCCCCACCGCTTGCTCAGTTACAGGCTTCATGGGGGTCCATCCTGTTGCCACACTTTCCCCGTCGCTTCATCTTCGTCTCATTTGCAGCAGCCTTCCTCGGTCGTGTGCTGCAGATGGGTCGCCTGTGGCCAGAGTCAATTCATGGACACTTTTTTGACCCTCAAGAATTGTTGTTTTACATTTTCGTTTGAATTAGTTACCAGCAGTTGAAAATCAAAGGCCTGGATTTCCATCTTCTTTTTTAAAAAGTGAAACAAAACACAGCGGCTTCTCTGGAACATGGAGCTTCTCTCCCCACGTGGGGGAGTCGGACATTCTCTTACCCCGGGCATGCACTGCCCAGTTTGCTGAGGTCCGCACCGTGCCCACTTAGAGGTTTCCTGCCTCAGTCAGCAGTGGAGTTTGCAAACACTACCTTGGAGTCTTTTGGCTCGTGCCAGAGAAGGTGGCGTTTGACACGTTTGTGGACCTGCGAAGAGAGAGTAGCTAGGAAGGTGCTGCACTTGACCTTCTGTCCCTCCACCAAGGAGGTGGGGTGACGTGGACACAGGCACATGCTCAGGTGTTTGTGGGCAGTGCTGCAGGGGAATCGGGTTTCCTCTGAAAGGGCTATTTCAGGTGTGAGGTATTCCTGTAGTTGTGGGGTCTCGTCCATTACACTTGGTATTACGCCCATTTGGAATTGTCTGTGATGTGTAGAACACCATATGGTCTCCTGGATGCCACCTTCATAAAGTCTTATTTCTAATTGCAGGTTTGATCATTCCTGCAAATTGTGTGTCTCCTCTTGTAAATCTCCTGTCAACTTCAGACCAGTCTCAACAGCTTGCGGTCCAACAGAAGCAGCTCTGGCAGCAGCGTCACCCCCAAAGCATCGCCAACTTGAGCAACGCATAAGAACAGACAGGTTTCAACATGGATGTATCTGAAATGCTGTTGAAGCTTATCATTTGCATAAAAATCAGGGACAGTTTCCAAAGAATTATAATTTTTTTCAGTTGTGCTCTCTCTAGTTAATTTTTTTGGGAATAAGGACAAACCTGGAATAGATAGCAAAGCCGAAGATGAGCAGTGGCGATGGTGGTGCATATGTCTTTCCTTTCGCTTTGCCCATGGTACTTCCCATGCGCTTCTGCTCTGGGCGAGCAGAGGGGATGTGCGCGTGCGTGTGTGTTCGTCTGTTTGTGAGTTTGTTAAAGGCTACGAACCACAGTTGGTTTAAAAACGCTTGGAACTTCCCAAACTGGCTTTACTTCATGTTACACAGTGCTCAGGGTTAACGCAGTCCATCCATGCCATTGCTGCGGGAGTTATCCCCGGACGCATGTGTTTGAGTCTATAAATATAGAACATATATATCGGTTTCTTTTTCCAACTTATTAAACACTAGGTTTATTAAAGCATGAAATGAAAGGTTGCACATCATGCGTTCAGGTTCTTTTCTAGTTTTTGTTCTGACAGTGCATGTCTTTGAAAGCATGCGTAAACAAGATTAACACAGAAGTCCGGTTACGGAGAGAAACATTTGTAGGTGTATAGCATTGGTTATTGCATTTTTATAATGTTTATACCTGGGTGTTGCTTCTGGCCCTGTGAACCTCTCCCCCTCCCCCATTCTCCCTGCCCCAGGTTTCTTGTCAAGGTGACGAGTACAGACTTTTTTTTTTTGTGATAAAATTCCTAAAAGTTCATTTTAATGTATTAATAGTATTCCTAATGAGTGCTGCAAAAATGGCTACAAGCCTGCTTTTCTCAAAATTACATTTTCCTTAACTTAAAGGTAGTTTTAGGAAGAAGTACAAATCAGCTTCCATCTTGCAAACAATCTTTTTTTACTTCATTTTCTTAATTTGCTTTGTCACTCATAAAAAAGGAAACCGTACTTGAGCTGTAAACTAGACAATGAGGAAACACTTGAGGCTTCTGCTGTATGTTTATTTCTTGTTGTTGTTGTTACCCAGTAACTTGAATATTGTTTAATGTGTTGTAAGACATTGTAGAGTTTATCTCAAGCTGTTAAAAATGGTAATGTACAAATGTGAATAGACACTTATCTATAATATGGGTAAGTTTTGTTTCGCCTATAATAGATGTTTTATAAAAACAAGTGAGGGGACAATTGGTCTTTTTGTTTCCTTTTTTTGTTTCTTTTTTTTTTTTTTTTTTTTGCTTGCACAGGTTGCACTATTGAAAAATTGAGATTGTATAAACCTGGTCAAAAGCTGCAAGATGCCAGTCTTGTAGATGTCAAATAAAAAGTTCTTACCCTAATGAGAAGTGGACTCTTGCTTAGGCCCTCTCCGCCCTCAGAGGCAGTCTGTGGCGGCCATCGGCAGCCCTCGGGCGCACCCGGCGTCCCAGGTCGCCTTCGTTTTGGCTTAAAATCTACCCCTCAAAGTTGAGGCGACGTTGAGGAAAGGGTAAAATGAGAGTACTTTTGAATGTTTATCAAGTTAAGTTCTCCTTTGTTACTTTTTAAACTTCTCTCAGAATCAGGCGCGCTGTACGTTACGTTACGTGCTAGAAAGCCGGGGCTTCGTTCCTTTAGAGCCCTAGTTTGGTCACGTCCAGTTTAGTTGTGTCAGGTTTCCCACAAGTTTTCTTTCTTTGGATTTATTTATTCTTGCTGCCTAAAAGAACAGATTGAGAATAATTTCTGTTCTTTGGCATATTTTGCCCAGCGGATGCAATTTTTTATCCTCAGTCTAGTCCTGTATCTCAGGCAGTGGTTCATACGCGTATCAACCAATTAGTTCCCGGGCCGGGCACAGAGACCCACTTGGCAGCCAGCAGCAGCCGGATTCCACCTGCAGCAGATGCAGCAGACTTCCCAGGTCCGCTGTTTTTAACCTGGCAGCCCCGTCAGCTCCCATCATACTGAGGTGGACAGAGCTGGGGAGGGAAGCAGAACCAGCCTGCCCCTCCAGTGAGGCCACATGGCAGGGCTGGGGAAGATAGGCTCTCGTGGGCTGTTGGCCTGACTTCCCTTTTGCGTGTGAGGGGATCTTTTTTAGTAAGCCACGGTTTTCCCCGAGCAGCGTCAGTATGAGGATTCCTTAGCATGCAGGTAGTCGACCCCCACGCTCGACGATGTAATGCTTGCTCTTGGAATAGCTATCCTGATACAAAAGGGCCATACATCTGTTCTGTTCTTTGTAGGACAGCTTTGTTTTGCTTTTTAAAATTCAGGTCTAGAAATAAGACCTGAAAACTCTCAGTAGACCTCAAAAAGACAGCCAGTGTAATGGGTGGGGACTGAGGTGCCTTCCTGCCCCTGCCCTCCATGGGGTGGTGTGCGTGGAGCACCCAGAGCCTGCTGCCCATCCCCCCTGGAGGAGAGCATGTGACCTTTACACTGTGCCCTTATCTAAGTCAGCAGGTTCAGGTTGGCCGGCACAGGAAAACCCAGCATCCGAGGTCCTCTTCTGTCAAAAACCAAGTCTTAGCAGTTCACTTCTTTAAAACAGGTCCGTGTATTTCAGGATCTGAATGCCACGTCCGAACCCGGGGCGCTTTCGAACCCAGTGCGAGTCCATTTGGCTTCTGCGATGCCTTGTCTCCCTTTTTAGCAATATGGCTCTGAGCACAAAGACTGGGTCGTAAATCACGATAGTGTTTTCAGAGTTTACAGTGTCGATTATACTGAAAACCACTTCCTGAGGCCAGAGCTGCTCAGATGGCATCTTGGGGACGACTAGTGTCCCCCTGAGTTAAGCAACCTCCATGCCACAAGGCATCTGTCTACAGCTTAGAGGGATTATCCAGATGCGTATCAATGATGTGAATCCCTGAAAGTATTGAAGTATTTCTTTAAACACAACTTGATCAAAAAGTAAATGACTTAAGCAATTTTCCCTTTCGCTGCTAAGTTGCAGATACACTCTTGAATATCTTTTCTTTACATGTGTGTATAATTAGCAAGAACTTGCATCCAAAGCAATGTAGTAGTGTGTGTACATATATATGTATTTATTCCAATCCAGTTAGCACTTAAGAAACCTTTTTGAGTTGCTACGATAAACCTTTTAATTTTATTTTGCTTCATCTGTAAAGGTAAACGTTCTAGATAACCAAGCTCCAGGGAGAAGAAATAGTGTTTTAGAGGCAGAGTTTTCTGGCTGGTGGCCCTTGGACATTCATTTGCTAATATCCGTATGATGTCATTAGAAGGCTTCCTGCTTGACGAGAAAGGGCACCGGGCAGCATCCATCCGCGGTCCTCTTAGCATAAAGGAAACAGCCATAGATTGGAAATGGTCGATGCATCTCAGTTTACGAAAGTAGGAGCAGAGGCTATTTTCCCTTCGGGTCCTTTTCTTGATACGATACTAAGAGGAAGGTCCTATCTAAATATTCTCATTTAAAAAATGTACCTGAGTGATAGTTGATAGTGTCTAAGAACGGTGCTGTGTGAAGAGTCACTATTAGGCTGGCCCCAGGGGACAGAGGTTTGGTCAGTTCAGGCATCCCAGCAACAACGGGAGCCACTGTGATGATGGGTGTTTGTTGCCCCCCATCCCTGTGTCTGGGGTCTCCCCGGCTAACACCACACCCATGCACGCACATTGTGACCCTCTGCTTCTGGAACGCAGCGAGCAAAATTCATTTGCAAAAAACTCATTGGCTGCCGATGCCTATACACGTAAGTGAAGAAGTCACATCTAGATACCTGCAACTCGAGCTAGCTAGTAATTGTTCTCTGAGCACTTGGGGTGAAATCTAAAACCCACCTTCTAATTTTCTGCTGTACTTATATATATATATATGTACATAAACGTGTATGTTATAGAAATGTTTGAGTTCTTTTGAATTCCGAATGTAAATATTTCTTGTAAATTGGGTCCCCCCTCACCCCTCAACTTGTTTTTCCCTTTTCTCACCCCCCCTTCAATCCTATTTATTCTTTTCTTGACTTCCCATACGGGGCATCTTACCTTTTTTTTTTTTTTGGATGTAGAAAAGTATGAAAACTTCTTAGTTGAATTTGTTCATATATTTGAGGATTCAGTTTTGCATCTTCGCTGTAGAATTCCAATGTCTATTTTGTGTTAATATTTTTCAACATGCCTGATTGTGTTTTGCATTTTTATTACAGATTTTTATTGTGTGCAATGCATTGTATTGGGGGGGGGAATGTACTTGAGTGCAATTGCTGATACTGTCATTATATGACTAGTTATGCTCATTTATGTTGCTCTTTGGAAGCTGTAGTGAGCCTGATGTTTCACATAAAAAAAAAAAAATTCTTCCCAGGACTTCCTTTAAGCTCCTCTAACTTCTTCAGTGCATTTGGGATCCAACTTAGCTCTTCGGTGAACCCAGCTTGTTCCTACCCTTGCAATTTTTCAGGCCTGCCCCTAACTCTTCATCCATGTGGCTCTCTCGCTGAGAGGAGAATCTTGCAAGTCTGAACCTTGATTTATGGCCTGCTGCTGCTACAAATTTTCTATGTTTCTCTTAAGAAGTCTGGCCTATGCTTTTAATCTACAAATAATAATCGAAATTTGTTTTGCAGCAAGCACAGGTAACCTGCTCCCACCTGTTAAGGATATTTGTAGGAGACGGGGAGACAGGCCTGGTGCACGCTAGTGTCCGTGTTGACAGGTGACGTTAGGCAGTGTACTTCAAGAACAGTTGTCCCCCCAAAGAGAGCGATGCAGCTGCTGTAGAGGCTTCCTCGAGCCTGCAGCTCATGAGTCGGTTCAGGGCTGAGGGTGCAGCAGGCCGTTAACGGAGGAGGGGCTGGCCCCGGTGGCCGCTCTCACCCTCCTGGTGGTGCTGCGGATCTGGCCTGAAGCAGTCGCGGCCTCCGAGCTTCTCAAGGAGCTTCTTAACCATGTGCTGCTGACGGTGGAGCCCCAGAGGCGAACCCTGGGTGGTGACTCACGGATTCTGCCCCTTTAAGGAAATGTTCCTCTGTGACTTTCAGGGAAGAGCGCCGTGAGCACTTCTCAGCCTTTATTCACAAGCACGCTTCATCCCTTGCTGTTGAACTGGGCAGGCTTCTTGGAAATTTCAAAGTAGTCTGTATTTGGCTAAGTCCTGGGAACCTAACTTGTCATAAGTAGGGCCCGTCAGCCATTAGCTCCCGTGTACATCCCTGTTCCAGCCGCCCCGCCCGGCTCACTCCCATCCGGCGCCCACAGAGCAGCTGATCTGTGCGCCGCGCAGCCGCAGCCGCGTCCTCTGCCGCGATGTGGCTCCACACAGTTAAGCTAAGACTGTCCCTTTCCTGCAGAGTCGAGCCAGGGACGCAGCCTGGGAAAGTCGGTTCTTTTCGATTCTTGCAACTCAGGCCTCCTGGGGCTGCAGGTTCACCCGCAGGCCCCCCCCAGTGAGAAACCCGGCTTTTCCACCAACCCCACCCCAAGGGCCTTTCCTGCTATGATGACAGTATTTGTGGCACTGAAGAGGGTAAAGAAGCTTGAGCCTTCTCGCTGACTTCCACTTGATGGCGCAGAGAGCTTTTTTTCTACGTAGCACACTGCAGTCTCATCGCCATCAAAAAAATCATCCTGTTCATGGTTTATACTGAATTTGCAAACTACTGATATGATTTTTCAATAACCACTTGTATCTACCATCAACCATGAGAGGTGGGAAGAGGTACATGGTGCCTCTGCAATAAAACTCTTGCCAGGTTCTACCTCCGCTGAGCAAAGGGTACTTTTATATGTAGGTGTAGACCTCCCTCCCTCACGAACCCGACACGGTGCGTCTCGAGACAACACACGATGGAGTCCAAAGACAGTTTGAAACAAAAGTGGGTGTGAACTCTGGGGTTTTATTTCCTTCTCTTTTTTTAATTCTCCCTTTTGATATCGCTCCCCCGTTTTGAATGTCGGCGTGTGACGGGTGCGGGCCGCTTTCACGACACGGCTTCACCCAGCCCTCCGTGTAACCCGGGACCAACTGGCCAGAAACGATTGTTCCCGCCGTTTCGCTATGTAACTTTAACGACTGGGTCTCATGCAATAAAAATATTTTGGGCTGCATTCTGCGAGGTTTTAACCCTCGCGAGTGAGAACGATCGACCATGAAGCGTGAACAAATTCTGTATTTAGTTGTTGTGTTTTTGTTTTTGTTCTTTTTTCTTTTTTCTTTTTTTTGTAAGATTCTTAAATAAATTAAACGGCTGATCTGCTGCTGCTCTCTCCGTGTTTTCTCTGTCCCGGTTCTGAGCTGTGTCAGTGCCACCACGCTCACCTAGAGAGCGGCTGTTCTGTTGGCACTGTGCGTAGAGTTCCAGAAGACGTCTCACGGCATGGGTAA